GCTGAACCAATCTCCAGTTGGGAACAGAAATCTAACTCACATCCTGTGTGGTCTCAGCCTAGAGGGCAGCATCTGAATGTCTGCCGTCACTGGCCCAGACTCAACAGTTTTCATTTTCATCTTCCACCTGCCTTCATCTCTTGATTATCTTAGTGGTTCTTCTCAAATTCAGTTCCATTCAGCCTATTCCAGGTATAAGTTACAGCCTGGCTTAATATAAGGGAGAGGGCATTTTGCTGGATTTTGCAAATTGCTTTTTCTTAGATACGGTTTCTTTTCTTTATGTATCTGTATAGCACAGAATGACTTGTTAATGCAGTATACCTTTTAGTATAGAAAAGATGAAGACATAAGTTGATAAGTGTTTTTTCCCTGACTTTATTATTTAGCAATGTCAGGAATAGATTTTTCAGGCTCTGTTATTTTCAGGCTCTATTATTACAAATGATTTTTGTTGTTGCTGTTTTTTTTTTTAACTGAAAAGCCAGAAAAAATGTAAAATCTTTACCATTCCTAACTTTGCATTTTTTATATGTTTTCTAATATGTTGGGAAAATAACGATTTTAATTGTGCCTCTTTCAACAATAGGAAGTTTTTGTTCAGTTCTCCCTTCACAGAAATATTTCTTATTGTTAATTTCAAGATAAAAAGTTTTTCTTTTACTCTCTATTCCAGTAAATGTCTATAAAATGAAGACTACTTGAATAGTGTTTTTTAGATATGAACAACATAAAAAGTTAATATGATGTTACTTATTATGAAACATCAAAAGAAATTTTGTTCATTATAGAACATTTACAAAGACTACCTAAGAGTGAGAGACCAGCAGGTGGTGTGGTGGTTAAGGGCACTGGACTCCCACATGGCCAACTGCACTTTGAGTCCTGGACCTGGTGGCTTGCTTTCTCTCTCACTCGCTCTCTCTCACTCTGCCCCTCTTTGGTCAAATTAAAATAAATAAAGTTAAGTAAAATTGTTAAAGAAAAAAAGATGAAAATTAAAATGAGCCATTCATATATAAATGGCTATTGTTAACATTTGCCTTTTAATAAAAACAAAACTGAAGTTTCTGGTTACAGACACTTACAACTGAGTTTCAAGCCAAAATTGGGGGGGGGCGGCTGCGGATATCTTCAAATAGGAAAGAAAGAAAAGATTTGACCCAGCCAATGGCAAGAAGGCCGGATCACCCATGATTGACTACATGGTTCTAGCCTCAGGTCCGGTGACTTGAAAAACACACAGGACTCAGGTGAATGGTGTGCCTCAAATCCTGAGAGAGAAATGAAGAGGGGATTACAGTTTGACCACACTCCATAGGAGGGGCTTTCTCACTTTTCCTCTCTTTCTGTCTTGGTGAGCGCATGCACCCTCTGGGAAATTTAAAAAGAAAACAAGAGGAGAAAAATTACTGATGTTTTAACACACTTACTATAGAAAAGTAAATCAACCTCAGGAGATAGAGAGGTAGATTTGAGATGGAGACTGGCAGCACCATTTTTAAATGCTACTCTTAAAGAAGGTACCAAGCCAGCAGGCTGAAAGGACAGGAAACTGGAAGTTTTCCATTCTGCCTGCCTTTTTTTCTGAGAAACTTTAAGTTAAAAAGGAGAATGGGTAGTTGGCAAAATGAAGGGGGGAAACTTTAAACCATCAACTGAAATAAAATATAATGCTGTAAATGTGGATAGAGAAACCCTGTCAGATGCTTTTGGTTCACAGCCTGATGAAGATTTTGACAGCATTGCACATGGAAATGATCTTGATGTGCTGCCATTTCATTCTTTGCTGAATGTAGCCAATTTAAACTGCTAGAATTTCTTGACATTCCTACTCTGGCCTATCTGAGTCAGCATCTTGTAGCTGCAGCAGCTTAATTAAATTTGCCAGTTTGTGCCACAAGGACAGACATATTCTCGTATTCAGAGAGACAGCTGTGAAGCAGTATTGTTAAGAGCTGCGGACACAATACTGTTAGGTTTGAATGGCTCTCAAGACATTTTTTAGTAAGAAATCAATTTGCTGTAATACATTTCTTCCAAGATCAGCAGTTAATATTCATTTTGTTAACCTAAAATATGCTTATTTTTATATAGTTATTGGAGAAATTTTAGTAGCTAAGTATGTCTTCTCTCACATACTATTTTCAGAGCTAGCCTAAGTATCTCAGTGTTAATTTCTAAAATTCTTAACCCATTCTGATCAAAACTCTTGATTAGTTTTTCATCCACATAGTTTATCTAAGAGCATGATCTCAATATTTTGCTGTATTTGTGTGGCCTAAATATCTTTCTAAATGCTCTTCTATTTTTGGAAACTTTTACCCTATTTATTCAAATATTATAAAGTTGATATAAAACAAGTCAGTAGTAGTCTTGAATGGAGCTAAACTCACCTTTTGTCCAGACAGAGATCTAAAATGAATTATTTTCAACCTTTTAAGTGGGAACCCTCTTTTTATAATAAATTTATAAGAAATAAGACACTTCCTCTACTGCCTGAAATGAAATTCATAGATAATAAATACCACACATGTAATTTTTAAATTTATTTATTTTACTTTCCATGTAAATAATTCTTAAAAAAAATACACAGAATATATAAATGTGAAATATACACAAAATACATAAATGTGAAGTAAAAGAATAATAAAATACACAGAATATATAAATGTGAAATTTACACAAAATACATAAATGTGAAGTAAAAGAATAATTCATAATATGTATTTTAATAGATGAATGCAGACACTACTACAATAGAAGATGCAATGAAATGGTGAGACATACCAGTTAAGAATAAGGTTAAATATTTTTTAATAGCTATTTAATTTTATTTATTATTATTTTGAAATTTTGCTGTAGGACACATGCACTCACCAGAGAGACAGAGAAAGAAAGGGAAAGTGAGAAAGGGAGCCACCAGATCTGGGACTCAAACCACAGTTTGAGTATAACAGTCCAGTGCCCTAAACACCACACCACCTGCTGGCCCCTAGAATAAGGTTATATTTAAGTAACATAAACTCTACCATGAAAGATTCATAGATAAAAGAATAAAATGTACTATTAGAATAAGTCTTAGCAGACCAGACTTACATGTATATAAGAAAAAGCCTAAAGGAACCTTTAAAAGTCATGCAGAACAATATCACGTATTACAGACATCTGATAGTCTTCACTTCTAAATGCCTTTAATCCCCCCTCTTGTGACGACCCAGATGCACCTACAAGTTTCCAAAATGATCTGAGGAAATTAACACTGTCATCATTGAGAACCACTGCTCTGGATTCTCCCCACTTTTATTTCTCTCTCTTAATCTCTAATCATGCTGTCTTCCTCCTTTCAGAATTTTGGGCACCTGCACACATATCCAATGTGTTTTTCAAAACACTGGGTCTAGGGAACCAGCAGTTAGCGTAATGGCTATGTCGCTGGACTCCCACGTAGTCGACCGCGGTTCGTGTCCCGGACCCGGTGGCTTAAAACTCACGCCGGGCGCGTGTGCGTGCGTGCCCAAGATCCCGAGAGGAGAACGGAGGAGAAGGGATTGCGGCGTGACCATCCCCCCTGGGGGGTGATTTCTCGCTTTCTATCTCTATGTCTGTCTCTGTCTGTCTGGCGAGCGCATGCGCCCTACAGTGAAAATCTCTCCAAAAAAAAAAAAAAAAAAACACTGGGTCTAGGACTTCAATCATGCAGTCAGCCATGTGGGATCCAGCCACCTTAACCACCATGCCACCAACTTGACAAGGTGACTTTTTAAATCTGCATTGGTAGCATCTCAAGAAATACTGTTAATGGGTTTTTTAGCTCCTCACTATTTTCTCTTCTAATTTCATTATAGATATGCCAGAATTTTTCTTTTGTATTCATAAAAAGTCATACAAACATTTCCATGGACTCAACCACATACATTAGTAATAGAGGATTGTGCAACTTTTTAAAAACCATTACTGCTTCCATATGATACATAGCTTTGGAATTTTATTTTTAATTCTTAACATAAGTAGGGGGAAACCAGAAAACTTAGAATCTCGATGGACTTGTTAACTTCAAGTCTGCAACCCTGCTATATTTTGTTCTTAGTGACTTTTGTTTGCCTTGTTAAATGGTATATCTTATATAAGAATTTAAGCATTGAGAAATAATAACTAGCATTGTAGTAAAATGTGAACACCAAGTACTTGCACATATAATTAGCAAGAATGATTTTTCTCCTCTTTAGTAAAGGGGATGTACTTCGAAATTGAATAACAAGAATAAAAAAAAAAAATTGCCTGTTCTTGTCTATCAGGTAGTTGAGGGTAAATGTGCAATGTGATTTTGTTCTACAGAATACTTCATCTACACTAAATGTCTAACCACCAAAATGCAGGTGTCCCAGAGTTAAGTAATAATCCAGAATTTACTCCGTTAATCACACTATATTCTCCTTGGTGATTGAGAATCATAAAGTTCCATGATAGTAATCTTCATGTGAAAAGCACATATTTGTAAATTGTATTTTTTTTTTCAGACGTATAGGAGAAAATTTGAATGCCTCAGCAAGTTCTGTAGAAAATGAGCCGGCAGTTAGTTCAGCAACTCAAGCAAAGGAAAAAGTTAAAACCACAGTTGGAATGGTTCTTCTTCCAAAACCAAGAGTTCCTTATCCCCGTTTCTCTCGTTTCTCACAGAGAGAGCAGAGGAGTTATGTGGATTTGTTGGTTAAATATGCAAAGATTTCTGCAAATTCCAAAGCTGCTGAAATAAATAAAAATGACTACTTGCAATATTTGGTATGTATCCTATTCTTCATCTTCAGTAAAAAAAAAAAAATTAAAATTTCTCAGAAAATATTTTTTATTTGCTTTCATGTTTTTAGTTGCAATCATATGAACAAAAATTAAAAATTTAAGGAGCTCAGTTGATGACACACTGATTCTTTAATTCTTTTGTTGATTCTGTTATATCCTCGCATTTTCTCTTCTAGTTACATTTATATAACTATATAGTTCAGACGTCTTGCACTCCTCCTAAGTACACCTTAGTCCAGTTCATCTTAAGTACTAGGAATAGAGCTTTACATGGCTTATTGTACCAGTTTTAAGTTGCTGCTTAATCACTACTGTAATTAAATAGTTCCAAACTCTAGTTACATAAATGATGTTCTGAACATCTTTGTAGCAAGATCTTCACTTATATTTATGATTGTTTCCTTTAGAGAAATCTTATAAATAAAATTGGCAGATCAGAGGCCATACCTGTTTTTAAATCTTTGATCTACAGTTATACATGGATAAATGTTTCTATAAAAAGTTAAAACCGGGAACCGGCAGTTAGCATAATGGCTATGTCGCTGGACTCCCACATAGTTGACCGCGGTTCGCGTGCCGGACCCGGTGGCTTAAAACGCCAGGCACATGTGCATATGTGCCCAAGGTCCCGAGAGGAGAATGGAGGAGAAGGGATTGCAGTGTGACCATCCCCCCTGGGGGGTGATTTCTCGCTTTCTGTCTCTCTGTCTCTCTCTGTCTGGTGAGCGCACGTGCCCTGTAGTGAAAACCTCTCCAAAAAAAAAAAAGTTTAAACCAATTTATTTTTATTATTTTTGTGTAAAAGTTTTTTCTTAAACTATCATCACTAATACTGGACATTATTTTTATGCTTCTAATTTGATAGGGGAAAAATGGTGACTTGTTTATATTAATTTAATTTACATTTTTTACTAATGAAAATAGGCATTTTTCCATGTGTTTCCTCTGCTAACTTTCTTATTCATATTGTTGCTGATTTTTCCATGGAGGTATTTGTCTTTTTTTTTTTTTTTAAACATTAAAAGCATTTTACAGAATAAGCTAATTAATTCCTAAGCATTGTTAGTCATTTACTTTTCTACTTTTGTGGAATTTTTAGTGGGGAAAAAGGTACCATTTTTAAATATTTTTGCTAACTTTTTCTGGGTGATTTGCACTTTGTATTTGATACTTCAATTACTGTTCAGGTCTAAATTGTTAGAACAGAGGTTGAACAGTGGTAATTTTTAATGGAACTGTTATTCCAAGATATGTCTGCTTTTTAAAAATCAGGATATGAAAAAACATGTGAATGAAGAGGTTACTGAATTCCTGAAGTTTTTGCAAAATTCTGCCAAGAAATGTGCACAGGATTATGACTTACTTTCTGATGATGCCCGTCTCTTCACGGAGGTAAAAATGATAATCATCACATTTACATCAGCTGCTGAGTGATAGGCAATACCAGTGAGTAACGATCCTACCAAAAGCATGTGGAACTTTCAGTGTTATCGAAATCGAGACCAAGTTGTAGTCCTTTTATTCATTATGTGTTGAAATAGTAAAACTAAGAACCTCCTCAGATACTATCCTATAGTATATTCATATGGGCATGTTTGTCTTTTTTAATAAAGTAGTGTATTTGAACGTTGCATTTTACTCAGCATTGATGGTTTGATTTGATCCTGTGATTTCCCTTCTGGGAGAGTAGAGTATAAGGAGTTATCTTCGTCCTTAAAAATCTGGATTTTTAAAAAATTTATTTATTTAATTCCATTTGTTATTATTGCTTTTGTTTTATTTTACCAGGCAGAGAGAGAGACAGAGAAAGCGAGAAAGCAAACCACCAGGTCTGGGACTCAAACTGCGGTCAGCCATGTGGGAATCCACCATCTTTAACCACCATGCCACCTGCTGGCCCCATGGATGGTTTTTTTATAATGCACATATAACTTTGTATTTATTATCTTCATGGTAACCAAACACCAAATAATAAATTTCAACTGTGAGTTAATTTTTTGATGCTTTAATCATTCATGCACATTTATTACCAAAGCCTACCGTCTACCCAACTATTTTTCTGTGAGCCTAGGAGAAATTAGTCTTTTTTTTTTAAGCTTTTAATACTGGGCACTATAAACAACAATGTGACTATATTTAACATTGCTGAACTCTATACCAGCTCTAAAAAGTATTGCAATGTTAAGTTTTATGTGTATTTTACCACCATTTAGAAAAAAAAACAACAACAAAGGACAGGTCAGCGGTGGTACAGTTGTGACACAGTGCTCAGCAGTGCTGAAGCCACGTGGAAAGGAAGGTCCCAGGTTTGCACCCCATGGTCTCCCTGTTCACACCAGGTGCGTGTGCACATCCCCTTGATGCAAATGAGCAGAGGCTGAGGTGGATCATGGCATGAAGACTGGGTTAGGAGTGTCCACCTGACTGTCCCATCTCCCTTCAAGGAACACATAAATAAACTTTAGAAAAATAAATAATAAAACTGGTCACTTTAAATTGGGGGGGGCACAGGAGTATTACTGGGTTGGCAAAAAAAATCACAATGCATTTTTGCATAGAAGAATACTAGTCCCTTCTATGGGTTTCAGTCTACCACAATTATTATCCTTTGTAAACCTCAAGTTATCGCCAACTTTAGTCAGTCAAAGGCCCTTCACATTGGTTTCTGAGTGCTTTCGAGCTTAGTAGTATTTGAGGCTCATTTTGTACATGTCTATCCTAGCCCTGGAATCAGCCTTTGTTTCTCTTAATGAGAAATTGTAGTTCAAGGCTTCAGTCTGGGGACAACAGGTGCTCATTGCTCCTGGGTTGATCATTATTCCTAAGAACACTTTAGTGGATACAGCTAAAAAAAAAAAATGTACATTTAAAGAAAAAATATTTCATGTATCTTATTTGCTTTATCCCACATTATACTTAAAATAGCATCAGAATAACAGTAAATTGAAAAATAATGTTTCATATGCTTTTTCTGTTCCCCCTTGCTTTTTAAAATAAGTTCGTACTGTTTGTCATTAGAGCACATAGCCAGTACACACTATAAACTCCTTTTTAATATACATATAATTTTTCATTTTTCTTATATAGGCTTCTAGATTGTATAGCAAGTAGCTTAATTTTATTAGAAATTGCCATCCTGGGGGCAGCCGGTGGTGTGGTGGTTATGACGGCTGGGTTTCCACATAGCTGATGGCATGGTTCAAATCCTAGACCCAGTGACTTGGACAACACGCCAGGTGTGTGTGTGTGTGTGTGTGCATGCCCAAAATCCCAAAAGGAAAACCGGAGGAGAGGGATTGCAGCGTGACCATCCCCTGTGGGAGGTACTTTCTCACTTTCTCCCTCTAGCAAGTACACACACCCTCTAGGAAAAAAAAAAAAAAAAATTAAGAAATTGGTAAACTTTTCATTTATTTGCTAGAATTCATGCATTTGCCAGAGAAAAAGGAAGAGGGAGAAAGCACTCCCCAGTAGAGTGTGGTCCCTCTGAATTCCTTCTTTTCCGTTTCTCAGTTCTGTTGGGATTCTAGTGACACATACACACGTACGTACACCTTGCATGTCCCTCAAGCTGCTGGTCCAGGACTGGAACTGTGGTCAGCCATATGGGCTCTAGCTCCTTCGTCCATTAGGCTATGGAGCTGGCTCCGGCCAAACTGTTTTTCACTGTGCGTGTGCCATTCTGTACTCTTACCAACGGCGTATCAGAGTGCCAGTTGTTCCAGATCTTTCCACATCTGTGCTAACATGTGGTCCCAGGATGCAAATTCAGAACTTTGCTCATGGGGTCTAATTGTGTTATCACTGTGCTACCACCTGGCCTCTGTATTTTATTTTTATTTCTGGTGTCTGTTACGTTACACTAAGATTTGTTTTTAACCTACTTTGTTCATTGTGTTTCTTGTATCTGGATTATATTCTTCATCAGTTCTGGAAAATCCTCAGCCATTTTTAGTTATTGCTTCTTCATTCTCTCAACTCTGTCCTTTTGGGATTCCCAAATTTTGCTAGGCTATATCTTTCTCTACTCTCCATTTCTCTCATTTTTAAAAATTGTGGTAAAGTATGTGTAATGTGAAGTTTATTCTCCCCGCTTTTAAGTGGCATTAAAGACATCCGCGTTGTTGTGCTGTCACCACCATCCATCTCCAGAACTTTTTTGTCTATTAATTTATGATCCCTAGAGATTCTCCTTGCATTTTACCAAGCTCAGCAATGCATACAGATTGTAACTTTTCCAGTGAAACTCCAGACCCAAGCTCCCTGGGGACCAGCAGATGGTGTCCCATAGTTACATGGCTGGACTCCCACATGGCCAATTGCAATTCAAGTCCTGGACCTGGTGACTTGAAATTGAAGCCAGGCACATGTGCATACGTGCCCAAAATCCTGAGAGGAGAGTGGAGGAGAAGGGATTGTGGTGTGGCCATCCCCCTCCGGGGTGGTTTCTCTCTTTCTGTCTCTCTGGCAAGTGCACGTGTCCTATAGCAAAAATCTCTAAAAATAATAATAATTCCCCGTTCTCTCCTCCCCCCGACCCATCCCCTGACAACAGCTATGGTACTTTCTGTCTCTGAATTTGACTCCTTTACATAACCCATGGAAGTGGGAACACAGTATTTGTTCTCATTTTACTTAGCGTAATGTCTTCAAGGATTATCCATGTTATATGACGTGTCAGAATTCCCTTCCTTTTTAAGGCTGAATAATATTCCATTTTACACGTATAACTCATTTTATTTTCCCATTCATCCGTTGATAGACACTTGGTTTGCTCCCACTCTCTTGCTGTTCTACGTAATGCTGCTGTGAGTGTGGCTGTCCATCCCGGCCGCTTAGGGCTTGAGTGTGGAAGGCCCGTGTCTGGCTCCCCCTGCCCAAAGCTGATAGAGGCATTTGCCCTCAGGGCACATACCCTTTCTTGAGTTTTCTTTATGCTTACTGCTCTGTTTTACCTTTGTGTGTTTGAGGTATATTTATTAATTTAATAGGTCTATTAATTTATGATCCCTAGAGATTCTCCTTGCATTTTACCAAGCCCAGCAATGCATACAAATTGTAACTTATCCAGGAGGTAGTTTCGTAGGAATTGGAGGGTCCTTCACCATACCTGTCACCCTGCCCTAAGCAGTATCTATTAAACTGTTAAGTCTCAAAACAAGTGTTGAAGTTTCTGACCCAAATTAAAATAGAAGGAGCACAGCTATTTCCACCTTCCGTTTTAATGCTAGCTCTGTATTGTGTACGTGCTTGTGCCTTCAGTGTGTTCAACTGTCAAGCCCTTTTGAGCAGTAAATAACAGCCGGGGGTAGGTGGTGGGAAACAGCCTGAATCTCTTAACCAGTGTTCACTGTCAGCTGTTTTTCAAAGATAAATCAATTATTGGTTAAAAATATTTTTTATTAAAGAAACCAAATATTATTCCTTTAGTAATGACTAACATGGGAAGAGAATTTGTAGAGGTTAGTGGTTAACTACTAGTATTGCAAATAAGGAACAAAGATACTTTTTATATGAGTTTGCAGTTGGCTGGTGTGTTTTTAAAGAATTATTTATTTTTTATTTTATTTATTATTGTTTTACAACTTGCTATAGAGCATATGTTCACCTCAGAAAAGAGACACATGCAGAGAGAGAGACCAGGAAAGCGAGAAAGCAAGCTGCCAGGTGCAGGACTCAAACCACGGTCGGCCATGTGGGAGTTCAGCACCTCATCTTCCATGCCACTTGCCCCTTGGCTAGTGTTTTAAAAATAACTTTTCTGGGGCTGGCAGATTGCGTGGTGGTTAAAAGCACTAGACTCCCACATGGCTGACCATGGTTCAAGTCCTAGACCTGGCAGCTCTCTCACTCGCTCGCTCGCTCTCTCGCTCGCTCTCTCTCTCTCTCTCTCTGTGTCTCGCTTTGGTCAAATTAAAAAGTAACAATAATGATAAGTAAAATAAAGGAAATGATTCTAAAAAAATCATTTTCCTTCTTGCCCATATCTGCCTTAGTTACAGGTTATATCGTGACTTAAATATCAGGATCTGTATTTAAAAGCTTGAATAGAGGGGGAAAGTGTGAAAGGTGGCAAGAGATGGCAATTAGAAACGGGGAAAAAGGGTCCTGTGAAAGTATGGATAAAAAGATTCCCTGCAGTGGGCCCAGTTATGAGGCACCCACAGGGCATTGCTGCTCGAAGCTGGAGGCCACATGGGAAGGCTCCAGGGTGACATCTCAGGCCTGAGTGCCGGGCCTGCCTTTGGGCACACCTATGATCCTGGCTGGGGGATGTTGTAGTGGAGACTCCCCACACTTCCTTCTCTTGTATGGAGGAAATAAGTGAATACATTTTTAAAAAATTAAAGATAACTCTGAAATAGTTAGTGATTTATAATTTCATCTTACAAAAGTCCAAAGATACAGATGTATTCATTGTAAAGATACACCTGGCCAAGCCTCTGTGGCATGGTTATAGCATACCAGATTGCGGAGCAGGAAGCCACATGCTCCCCAGAGTTGAGTCCTTGCCCCAGTTGGCCTGCAAAATCCACAGTAGGTTGAGCACATTTTCAGGATCCTGGCAGGCTGGAAGACTGGAAAGGGATCACAGCATGGACCTGGCCTTTGGAGGCTGTGTCTGTCTGTCTGTCTCTTGTGCATGCATTCTATCATCAGTGGGGGAAAAAAGATGTTTGTTACAAAGAGCTTATCTATAACAGATAGATAGATAGATAGATAAATAGATAGATAGATAGATAGATAGATCGATCTTCCCCCAACCCCCAGAGTGTGCATGTACTCACCAGAGGAAGAGGGAAAGTAAGAAAGCATACCACCACCACCACCACCACCACCACCCCGCCCCCCACGGGTCAACAGGTGGCGTAGTTAAGGTGCTGGACTCTCACATTGCCGACTGTGTCCTGGACCTGGTGGCTTAAAACTCATGCTGGGTGCACGTGCATGCATTCCCAAAACCCCAAGAAGAGAATGGAGGAGAAGGCATTGCAGCATGGCCATCCCCTTTAGCTGGTGATTTCTCACTTTCCCTCTCACTGTCTCTTGTCTCTCTCTGATGAGCATAAGTACCCTCTGACCAGGAAAGAAAAGTAAAAAAAGCACCTTCCTGCCCCATGGGGGATGATAACACCACAGTCCTTTGTCCATTTATCCCTCCTTTAGGAATTCGTGGCACAAACACAAACATGCCCGGCATAATTTTTTAAAGAGGTTTTTGCTGTAGGGTACATGTGCTGCCCAGAGAGACAGACAGAAGAAGAGACAAAATGAGAAATCACCCCCCCCAGGAGGGATGGCCATGCTGCAGTCCTCTCTCTTCCATTCTCCCATTCCAAACTCTCACGCCCAACGTGAATTCTAAGCCACCGGGTCTGGACTTTAACTGCAGTTGGCCATGTGTGAGTCCAGCAGCGTAACCATGACACTGTCTGCTGGTCCCATCCAGCATGATTTTTTAAGCCCCTGGGTCCAGGACTCCAGCTGTGAGGATGATCATGTATGGGATCTAGTTTCTTTAACCACCACACCACCAACTCGCTGTTAAAACTTACTCTAGGGGCAGGAGCCAGCAGTTAGTGTAATGGCTGTGTCGCTGGACTCCCATGTAGTCGACCGTGGTTTGCGTCCCGGACCCGGCAGCTTAAAACTCACCCAGGCGCATGTGCATATGTGCCCAAGATCCCGAGAGGAGAATGGAGGAGAAGGGATTGCGGCATGACCATCCCCCCTCGGGCGTGATTTCTTGCTTTCTGTCTCTATGTCTCTGTCTGTCTGGCAAGTGCACGCGTCCTATAGTGAAAATCTCTCCCAAAAAAAAAAAAAATCTTATTCTAGGGGCCAGCAGACAGATGGGGTAGCAGTTGTGTAGCTGGACTCTCACATGGCTAACCGCAGTTTGAGTCTCAGATCGGGTGTTTTCTTATCACACTGGGCTTGCGTACATGCTCACGTGTCTGCCCAAATCCCAGGAGGACAAGAGATTGCAATGTAGCCATCTCCCCAGGGGTTGATTTCTCACTTTCCCTCTCACTGTCTCTGTGTCTGTCCAGTGAGCACACGCACCCTAAGGCAAAAATCTCAACAACAGCAAAAAAATTTTAAATATGTTCTAAAAGATTCAGGTAACGATTACTGATAGAAGAAAAGATAACGTATATGTGTGTCTTAATTATCAACAACTTTTTAGCCCCACCTCAAATGACTATGTTTCTCAGAGTTATTAACTTCTTATCACAGGGGCATATATTCTTGGTTAAAGCTGTAACTATTATTTCCTTTTTGATTGCATTTTCTGATAAGTTATTAATACTCTGAAAACAGTTGGAAGGGAAGAAAATACTAAGTATTCTATCATTTGAATTAGTTATAACATTATTTTTAGATTATAAATTAGAATGACCTGTAAGATAACTATTTCATTGATTCATTGTGCTTGGGAATCTTTTTAGGATATTAATCGTAATTATTTCTAATCACTCATTTAACTGTGCAATAAATTGTGTTGAAATGTTTACATGACTTTATTTCTTTGACAGTTTCTTAAATAGCATAGAAAATATGATGTGTCTTCTCTACTTAATTTTAATAGGATTGCTAATTTTAGTATTGTTACATACTGGTATATTAAGAAATTAGGTTAAAGATAAATTGTTATGAAAAATTAGAAAATTTATCAAATAAAGATATACAATGTGTGGGTTGTTAGCTTGATTAATGAAATGAGGCTGATTTATGCAATTGTATAGTCACATGTAACTAATTTTTGTTATATTTTTAGAGAAATACAAGTGAATTTTTAATTTTTGTTTCCTAGCAAATTTTAAGAGCTTGCGTTGAACAAGTGAAAAAGTATCCAGAATTTTATAATCTCCATGAAGTCACCAGCTTAATGGGGTTCTTCCCATTCAGAATAGAAATGGGATTAAAGTTAGAAAAAACTCTTCTTGCGTTGGTAAGGCTTATGATATGAAAATATAAGCTTGCCTTTTTTTTGGTCTAAAACATCTTGTGTAGTTCATGGAGACATTATTTTATGTTTAAATTTTGAGTGATACGAGATGGTAACTTTAATTATGTAATGTCAATTTGTGTTCCCCCCATTTAAAATTTTATGGGTACAATTGCAAGATATCAGAAAGTTCATGGAAAAATGGAATTAAAGTACAAGTTTATTTTGGTGCAAAGAAAAACTTTTAATTCATGAATAGTATTTTTATAACTATATTTTCTATGAACTTTGTGAGGGCCCTTCATACTTGATGTTTTCTAAAAAATACTGCTACTGGGAACCAGCAGTTAACGTAATGGCTGTGTCGCTGGACTCCCACATTGTCAACCGCGGTTCGTATCCCAGACCCGGTGGCTTAACACTCACGCCAGGCATGTGTACGTGCATGCCCAAGATCCCGTGAGGAGAATGGAGGAGAAGGGATTGTGGCGTGACCATCCCCCCTGGGGGGGGATTTCTCACTTTCTGTCTCTATGTCTCTCTCTCTCTGGCGAGCGCACGCGCCCTGTAGCGAAAAACCTCTCAAAAAAAAAAAGTAAAAATACTGCTACCTATTGTATTTTTAATTTTTTTTTTATACTTTCCGTCTTCTTTAATGCTCCTAAATACATGGGAATTTGTTGGGAAACTTACTAGAAATAAGTGCATAGAGCAGGTATTTTAGCATTTCTTCTGTGACTTATTATGACTCATACTTCATAAAAGGAGAGGATAGAATTGCACAAGTGAAGGAAAATTCCCTGAAACCGTTTTCTTGGATCTTATTTTTTTATTAAGTTTTTTTTTTCAAGAATTATTTAAATTTATTTATTTTAAATTTTTGACCAGAGAGGTCTGTTGAGAGAGATAGAGAGAAAGTGAGAGCAAGCTGCCAGGTCTGGGACTCATACTGCCTTTGGCCATGTGAGAGTCCAGTGCCTTTAACCACCACGCCACCTGCCAGCCCCTTGGGCCTTGTTTTTAAAGGAGCATATTGGTGATAGTTGTCAAGAAAACACATGAAAGTCATGGCTTAAAGAGGTTCTAAATTTGACATTTGCATTTGGTAAAATGCTGACTTTCAAGTGAAGAGTTTCATATAGTGAAAGATACTTAGAGAACAACTACACAGAAATTTTTGCAGTAAAACATTCACCTTTTTCTTATTTAGGGCAGTGTAAAATATGTGAAAACAGTATTTCCTTCAATGCCTGCAAAGTTACAGCTCTCAAAAGATAACTTATCTGCCATCGAAACACCAGAACAAACAGCTGAAGCTATGCATTATGTAAGTACCAAGGAGACTTTAGATCTTCCTAACTAATATTCTGTACCTCCTAAAATACATACCACCTGATTGTACGCAAGTCTCCTTCTTGGCTGACTTTCTTCTTTTTATTACTGTATCAAAGAAATGTTTAGCAAGTACAAACAAGTAACAAGGTATGTGTTGTTTTTTCAGGATATTAGTAAAGATCCAAATGCAGAGAAGCTTGTTTCAAGATATCACCCTCAGATAGCTATAACTAGTCAATCATTATTTACCTTATTAAATAATCACGGACCAAGCTACAAGGAACAGTGGGAAATTCCCGTGTGTATTCAAGTAATACCTGTTGCAGGTTTGTAATTTACTATGTCAACTAATGCTCTCAAAAGAGGGTTTGGGGGTCATCTCTGTGGCACAGTGGTAATGTCCTGCTCAGGAGAATCCGGGTGCCACCTTTCGACTGCGGTTTGCACCCCCAGCCTGGTCAGCCTGGAACATATTGGGTATGTGCATCGGTGCCCGAGGTCTAGAGGGCTGGAGGAAGGAGGGTGGCATGACCAGACCCTGTGGAAGGTACTTCTCTCTCATGTGCGTGGGCACTTTATCACGAACAACAGGATAAAAAGGAAACTTGAAATGTTTAAAATGAAAAGAGTGTTTACAGTGGTTCTGTTTTAGCGGTCTGAACATAGGTGATCATTTGTCAAACATAGTAACCTAAGTCTTTGTTTAAAGAGAATGAGAAGTTCACATTTATGGTCAATGGAACTTTCTTATATGTTAGGTTACTAGAGAATTGACACTCCAAGATGAATTCTTAGGTCTGTAGCATTTGCGATCATGTTGGACGATGAGCCATAGAGAAGTCGTTATGACAGGGTGACCAGAAATCCACAAAATGGGGGCCGGCAGGTGGCGTGGTTAAAGGCGCTGGATTCCCACCTGGCCGACTGTGGTTCAAGTCCTAGACCTGGTGGCTTGCTCTCTCTCTCTCTCTCCCCCTACCCCCCTCTCTGGTCAAATTGAAATGAACAAATAAATAAATAATAAAAATAAAATTAAATAAATTCTTTAAAAAAAATCCACAAAATGATGACATTCCTCTGTCTTCCACTGAAATGAAAAGAATGTAATACTTTATAGGACAACCACAAAGTTATAGTAATGTACTCTGTGGTAAAAATTTCACCACTTTTTGTAAGTTACTATAAAAACTGAATAATAATGACAGTAATAGTAAAAGCCAGAACATCCTTTTAAAAATTTATTTTATTTATTTTTAATGTTTGTTATAGAGCACATGAGCTTGCCAGAAACAGAAAGAGAGAGAGAGAAATCACCCCAGGGTCGATGCCACACCTACAGTTCCTTCTCCTTCATTCTCTTCTTGGGATTTTGAGCAGGCACGTGCATGGCTCCTGGTGTGATTTTCAAGCCAAAGGATCCAGGACTTGAACCACAAAGTCGGCCTTGTGGAATCCAGCACCTTAACCTACGTGCCACCTGCTGTCCGCAGAAAACCCTTTTAAACGCTGTGGAGACCTTATTTCTCTAGCCACTTGGATTCTCTTACCTTTAGATTGCAGAAGGACTCCAAATCTCAAGTAAAAGGGATGTGCCACCACTACTCTCTATTCCTATTTCTTTGTTTAGTGATCATTCTATTCTTCATTCTGTTTGTTTTTTCCCTAGACTTATTTAACTATTTGTTTGTTTGTTTGTGTGTTTATTTTGTAAATTTGATCAGCAAGGGATAGAGTAAGAGAGAGGGCAAGTAAGAAAGCAAATTACCAGGTCCAGGACTTGAACTGTATTCAACCATGTGGGAGTCTAGTGCCCTTAACCACCACACCACCTGCCAGCCCCTCTTTCTTTTCTTTTACTATAACTACTAATTACTGATTGCTCCTTGTCTGTTTCCATTTTAAGGTTCAAAACCAGTTAAAGTAATTTATATCAATTCACCACTTCCCCAAAAGAAAATGACAATGAGAGAGAGAAATCAAATCTATCATGAAGTTCCATTAAAATTCATGATGTCCAAGAACACATCCGTTCCAGTCTCTGCCGTATTTATGGACAAACCCGAAGAGTATTTATCTGAAATGGATGTAAGTATTGCTTTTTTCATTTTTTCCCTTTGGGGAATGTACTTGTTTATCCTTTTGAAGCATGAAGTTTTATTGCCAGTCTCTAAACCTAGTAGTTAAAAATATAGGTTTTAGATACAACTTAAAATTGAATTCCAAGGCTTGCTAGAATTTAGGCAACTAAGCTTCTTAGGCCTCAGTTTTCTTACTTTACAAGGTTATGAGAGTTAACTTTGGCAAATGTACAAAACTGAGCACAGTTTTTAGTATGTCAGTCAGTTATGGAATTTTGCGTGGTGGTAGTTAATATGAGTTTCTTTTAATTGGTCTTATTCTTTTTTTTTTTTTGAGAGGTTTTCGCTATAGGGCGCGGGTGCTCGCCAGACAGACAGAGACACAGAGACAGAAAGTGAGAAATCACCCCCCCCGGGGGGATGGCCACACCGCAATCCCTTCTCCTCCATTCTCCTCTCAGGATCTTGGGCCCGCATGCACACATGCCCGGCGTGAGTTTTAAGCCACCGGGTCAGGGACGCGAACCGTGGTTGACTACGTGGGAGTCCAGCAACATAGCCATTACGCTAACTGCTGGTCCCTAATTGGTCTTATTCTTATTTAAATCATTAAGTAGGAAAAGAAACAGACGAGTGTAATTTAATTGATACAAAAAGTATTTGGCCAGGCCGTTCATTCTTTTTAGTTTACTCAGTAGCTATGGGACCTTGGACAAACTACATGATCTCTCTGTCTTGTTTGCTCATCTGTAAAATGGCTATCATCTAATTTATAGGGTTGTTTGGATTTAAACTAGTTATGTAAAGCATTTAGAATAATATTAGGCACTCTATTAACTTATATTCTCTGTGTTTTAAAATATTTTTTGCATGGTTGTTAAAGTAAGACATTTTGGGAACCAATAGTTGGCGTAATGGCTATGTCGCTGGACTCCCATGTAGCTGACTGTGTCCCATGTAGCTGATTGTGGTTCGAATCCCAGGCCTGGTGGCTAAAACTCATGCTGGGCTTGTGTGCGTGCATACTCAAGATCCCGAGAGGAGAATGAAGGAGAAGGGATTGTGTGTGGCATGGCCATCCCACTGGGGGGTGATTTCTCGCTTTCTGTCCGTCTCTGTCTTTCTGGCGAGCGTATGCGCCCTATAACAAAAACCTCTCAAAAAAAAAAAAAAAAAAATTTTGTTTACGGAAAACTTTATTCATTATTCCACAAATATTTACTGATCAGTTACTATTCTGTGCACTGAGAGTATAGAAATGAATAAAAACAAATTCTCTTCTTTCACATCATACATTAGTGGCAGGGAGCAGCAATATTATCATGGATAGTGATAGTAGAGAAAGATAGAGTAGAGTGGGAAAAAATAGAGATGGGTAGGTGTGGACCTATTTTATATCCAAGGACAAGAAGGCCTTTCTGAGCATAGGCAATAGGAACATTGATAAGTAAAGTGAGGAAACAAACAAAATGATAAAATGAAATATAAAGAGGAGAGTGGATGGTGGCACAGCAGTACAGAACACTCTACAAGACTGACCCATAAGGCAAGGTCCCAGATCTGAGTCCAGAGACCTCTTTGAACACACCAGGTACAGACGTGTCAGCATCCTGGGGCTGGGGATGGACTGCAGTGTGGGACCTGCTGGGGATGCCTGTCTTCTGTCTCTCTCTGTCTTCCTCGCTCTCTCACTAATAGAAGAAAGAAATGGATAAAAGTTTTAAAAATCATAATAAGAAAAATATAAAAATATTTAAGAGTGCATATAGATTTAAGGATATTGGCTTTTTGTCTTTTATATTGTTTTTCTCTGTTATTTACCTCATAATATTTTTATGATATACATCAACTTCAGCTTTCATGTCATTAGAAAATTGATACTTCTGATTTTTAATCTCTACTATTCTAGTTTTGTTGCTTTCTGAGTATCCTGTAATTATCATTTTTAGTTTTTTCCTTGTAACAGTTTGTAATTTTTTTAATTCCCAAGTGATTTGGTTTATTGTTGTTTGTTTACATTTTTCTTAGTGACTTCTAACTTTATTTCCTTCTGAACACAGAATAAGACCATACCAGATTCTGCTTTATACTCTACTGAGACATTATTTTTTGTCTCTTTTTAGAAATAAGCCTTGAATTTTTAGGAAGGGAAAAGTGTATCTTTGTAGTCTATGTATTTTTTCTTCAATCATTCATATATATTCATTTTATTTATTCATTCATTCCTTTCTTTATTAATTTTAGTTGCCAGAGGCTCTCTTAACACTAGGCTATAGGACTAGCCCTTTTTTCCTCCTTTTAAAGAATATGAACTCGTGCCAGTGGGTAATATGGTGGTTACAGTGCTGGACCCCCACATGGCTGACCATGGTATGAGTCCCAGATCTGGTAACTTGCTTTCTCACTTTCCCCGTCTCTCTGGTGAGCACACATGCCCTATAGCAAATAAAAATAATACTAATAATTAATAAAATTAATTAATTCTTTTTTTTTCTTTTTCTTTTTTTGGAGAGGTTTTTGCTATAAGGTGCTTGTGCTCACCAGAAAGACAAAGACAGAGAGACAGAAAGCGAGAAATCACCCCCCGGGGGGATGGCTACGCCGCAATCTCTTCTCCTTCATTCTCCTCTCAGGATCTTGGGCACGCACGCACACGTGCCCAGCGTGAGTTTAAGCCACCAGGTCCGGGACTTGAACTGCGGTCAGCTACATGGGAGTTCAGCGACATAGCTATTATGCTAACTGCTGATCCCAAAATTAAATAATTCTATAAACAAAAAGAACCTGAACTGAACTATATGTGTGAAAGATAAGGACATTAAGAGATAGGTGAGTGATGACCTAAAATTTTTACTAATAATCTATCAATATATTTTTCTTAAGACATCCTGTGAAGTAAATGAGTGCCGAAAAATTGAGACTCTTGAAAATTTGGATCTGAATTTTGATGGTGATGTCACAGAACTTGAAACTTTCGGAGTAACCACCACAGAACGATCAAAGTCACCAAGTCCAGTGAGTCCTACGTTACCCAGCGTGACAGATGTGCCCACAGTCCCCAAAGCAGCAGCTACACCTGTGGCACCAACTGCACCAGACGCTTCTGCCTGTTCTAGAAGTTTATCTCAGATTCTGATGAAACAATTGCAGAAGGAAAAACAGCTGGTCACTGGTGTGGATGGTGGCCCTGATGAGTCCAGAGATAAAGTTGAGCAGGGATTTGTACCATGTGGTGAAAATTCTAACAAGTCTTTGATGCAGCTTGGTGACTTGAAACCATCTGGAGCCTTACAGTTAGAAAATTCTAAGGAAGTGGACACCTCTAATAAAAATGCTATGGCTGCAGGTATGGTCTGTGCTGATGACGGAGGACTGCATGGTCGAGAGAACGGAGATAATTTAGGGGAAAAGACTGTTACAGCAGCAGCCGCTGGAATGGAAGACGCACTTCTCTGCAGTAGTGATACAGATGAAGACTGTCTGGTCATCGACACGGAGTGTAAAAATAGTACTAATGGAAAGACAGCAGTGGAGGGTTCTAATTTCAGTGCTAGGCCAGCTAGCCCAAATTCTTCCTCAGGACAGGTTTCTGCAGGAAACCCCAGTAATACTGCTTGTACTCTAGAAGAGTCTTGTGTTTTAAAGAAACCCATCAAAAGAGTGTATAAAAAATTTGATCCAGTTGGAGAAATTTTAAAAATGCAGGATGAGCTCTTAAAGCCAATTTCCAGGAAAGCACCTGAATTGCCCTTAATGAATGTAGAAAATTCTCAACAGCTTTCTGTTTCTGAGCAACCCTCTGCTTCTTCAGATGCTTCTAGTTGGCCAAAATCCGGATGGACTACTGCTTTCCAGATGAAGAGTATATATCTGAAATAGATACATCCTGTGAAGTAAATGAGTGCCGAAAAAATGAGACTCTTGAAAATTTGGATCTGAATTTTGATGGTGATGCCACAGAACTTGAAACTTTCGGAGTAACCACCACAGAACGATCGAAGTCACCAAGTCCAGTGAGTTCTACGTTACCCAGCATGACAGATATGCCCACAGTCCCCAAAGCAGCAGCTACACCTATGGCACCAACTGCACCAGACGCTTCTGCCTGTTCTAGAAGTTTATGTCAGATTCTGATGGAACAATTGCAGAAGGAAAAACAGCTGGTCACTGGTGTGGATGGTGCCCCTGATGAGTCCAGAGATAAAGTTGAGCAGGGATTTGTACCATGTGGTGAAAATTCTGACAAGTCTTTGATGCAGCTTGATGACTTGAAACCATCTGAAGCCTTACAGTTAGAAAGTTCTAAGGAAGTGGAAGTCTCTAATAAAAATGCTATGGCTACAGGTATGGTCTGTGCTGATGATGGAGGACTGCGTGGTCAAGAGAATGGAGGTAGTTTAGGGTAAAAGACTGTTACAGCAGCAGCCGCTGAAATGGAAGACGTACTTCTCTGAAGTAGTGATACAGATGAAGACTGTCTGGTCATTGACACAGAATGTAACAATAGTACTAATGGAAAGACAGCTGTGGAGGGTTCTAATTTCAGTTCTAGGCCAGCTAGCCCAAATTCTTCCTCAGGACAGGTTTCTGCAGGAAACCCCAGTAATACTGCTTGTAGTCTAGAAGAGTCTTATGTTTTAAAGAAACCCACCAAACGAATGTAAAAAAAAAAATTGATACAGTTGGAGAAATTTTAAAAATGCAGGATGAGCTCTTAAAGCCAATTTCCAGGAAAGCACCTGAATTGCCCTTAATGAATGTAGAAAATTCTCAACAGCTTTCTGTTTCTGAGCAACCCTCTGCTTCTTCAGATGCTTCTAGTTGGCCAAAATCCGGATGGACTACTGCTTTCCAGAAACCAAAAGGACGTAAGTAAATGTTCACCCAGAACTTGCACCGTTTCACCTGTTCCTCTTCTTTAGGGTTTTTCCTCTCATTCCCTGACTTTTTCTTTGATGTAATCTGTTTTTCAATCTTTACATAGGCAATGACTTATTTTCAGTCTACTTTTTGGTATTTTAGCTTCCAAAACATTCTTTCTTACATATGTGCCCAAAGGAGTGTGGACTCTGTAGCCTGCGTTTAGTCAGTATGTGCTGTGGCTGCTGAGCTCTTGGTGGTGTGATTCACCAAACCAATGAGAAGAAATGCATCAAAAATGCTCATAAACATTAATCAGTCCAGGCGTTGGAATACAGTTTAAAACTTTGTAAATTTGTGGCTATAATTGAGAACTTTGTATTTTGCAAAATATATATAAATCTCACATTTGCCTAGAATAGAAATAGCATTACTTTTTAAACTCATTTTTTCTTCTATGCAATATGCTATTTTACTAACTTATACTTTGCCGAGAATTAGCAAAGGTAACAGAAGAAAGAGAACCTTTAAAGTTTAGTTTCAGCTCTTGCTTCAATTCTAGTGACAGCAAATAGAACTGGTAATAGTATGAGATCGAGGAAGTAAAAAGTTGGTTGTTAGAAGTTTAAAAATGGTTCATTGATTTGCTTTATCCTAGATTATGATCGATAAAGGGCTAATGCATTAAAAGTAAAAATGAGAAATATTATTTTTAAAGGATTGCCATATGAACTTCAGGACTATGTTGAAGATACATCGGAATATCTAACTCCTCAGGAAGGAAATCTTGTTTATAAGTTATTTAGCCTACAAGACCTGTTGTTACTGGTGCGTTGCAGTGTCCAGAGGATAGAGACCAGACCACGTTCTAAAAAACGGAAGAAAATCAGAAGAGTAAGTTGTTGGGGGAGTTCAGATGCATTAACAAGTAGATAATCAGCAAATATTTATTAAATAATGTACCGTTATTATGACACTTAGTTTTAAATTTTTGATTACTCTTATAGTAGTGTTTCCACGTTGAATTTAGAAAAATATTGAGGTCCATTTTAATAAGGTAAAGTGTTTAATTATATGTAATGGTCATGAATGCAGTGACATTCTGAGATTAAATATATAAACTTTATGAAAATCTGCATATCATAGACACAGCTGGATTTCACACATCCAACTGCACAGCACGGTTCAAGTCTCAGACCCGACAGATTATAAAAATCATGTTGTGTGTCTATGCCTAAAAACTTGAGAGGAGAAGAGATTTGTGGCATGGCTGTCCTCCCTGAGGGTGCTTTTTTACTTTCTTTGTTTTTTGTTTTTGGCGAGGTTTTTGCTATAGGGCACGTGCGCTCTCCAGAAAGACAGAGCGAGACAGAGAGACAGAAAGTGAGAAATCATCCCCCAGGGGGGATGTCCATGCCACAATCCCTCCTCCTCCATTCTCTTCTCAGGATCTTGGGCAGGCACACACAGGCACCCGGCATGAGTTTAAGCCATCGGGTCCCAGATTCAAACCACGGTCGACTACAGGGAGTCCAGTGACATAGCCATTACGCCAACTCCTGGTCTCTCACTTTCTTTGTTTTTCTGTCTCCCTGTCTCTATCTGGGAATTGCACGCACCCTATAGTAAATAAAAAGAGAAAAGAAAACAAAAGAAAAACAAAAGAAAGATGAGGTTTCACACACATTTGAAGTCTTTACAGGATTGTTAAAAGACATTTCATTGTGGGAACCAGCAGTTAGCGTAATGGCTATGTCGCTGGACTCCTACGTAGTCGACCGCGGTTCGTGTCCCGGACCCGGTGGCTTAAAACTCACGCCGGGCGCGTGTGTGTGCGTGCCCAAGATCCCGAGAGGAGAATGGAGGAGAAGGGATTGCGGCGTGACCATCCCCCCTGGGGGGTGATTTCTCGCTTTCTGTCTATGTCTCTCTGTCTGTCTGGCGAGCGCACGCGCCCTACAGTGAAAATCTCTCCAAAAAAAAAAAAGACATTTCATTGTTAAAAGACCATTCATCCTTTCATGGTTTGGTACATATATTTTTCTCAATAGAAAAGTACTTGGTACAATTGAAATAATTGTTTTTTTCAGTGGTTTTTATATTTGATATATTTTAAGTTCTTTTTCACTGTAGTTTGGAATTTTTTAGGTGTGACTACTGGATTCTGACTCTGTAAGAATATTTGTTGACAGTTTAGAATGTCCGTGTGTTTTGGGATAGGGGTCATGATATTCCAACAGTGATCTTGAAGGGGTACTCCTTGAATAATATCAATACAATGTATTAAAGAGTCACTGGAGCCAGCTCCGGGCCTGGTGGTTCAGGGAGCTGGATCCCATGGCTGACCCCACAGTCAGCATCCCAGTCCCAGCAGCGTGCAAATCATTCCGGGCACATACGTGTGCCCCAGATCCTGACAGCATAGAGAAATGGAAGAGGGATTGTGATGCGACCACGCCCCATTCAGGGGCACTGTCTCTCTGTCTCTCTTTCTCTCTGGCTAGTGCATACACCCTCTGGCAATGAAAGAAAAGGAAGAAGCAGAACTGAAAAGGAAAAGGGTACCTGCTATTGTTAGAGTACTTCTAACAGCAGCGGTGTGGGGGTTTAAGTACCATGAAAAAAAACCTAAAGGCCACCCCTTCAGATCTGGGATGTACAATTTGTCCGTCAGACTCCAGTGGACTTGAAAATTGTGCTTTATAATATTTTTATCCTTTGTTAAATAGAAAGTGCTAAATAAATTATTAGATTTGTAAATTGTTGAATTCCTAATTTTAGGATTTAGTTTTCATCCTTGATTCCAACCTGACATTTTAGAAACCAAATAATTTAGAACTAAACATATAGGGGAGTGCTTTTACAGAGAAACCAAGGAATGATAGTGCAATGATGTTAGCGTCCTCCTAGATTAGTGAGAATATACTCTAAATTAAAAGGTTTACTTTATTTGCTAATATTTCCTGCCTATATTTTACTGTGATAAATTTAATATCTATCAGTTTGAATATCATGATATGTATTGTGTCAGTGCCATGGGTTGTATGTGTGTATTTATTTAAATTTTGCCAGAGGGTGCATGTACTCACCAGAGAGAGAAAGAGAGAAGGACAAAACACCTTGCATGGGGCATGACCACACCACAATCCCTTCTTCTTCACTCCTTCATCCTTCCAGAGTTTGGGGACACATGCCCATGCATCCAGCATGTTTCTGTTTCTTTTTTTTTTTTTTTTAAACTCTATCTTTTTTCTTAGAATTATTTTAACTTTATTTAATTTATTTTAATTTGACCACAGAAGGACAGAAAGACAGAGAGAGAAAGCGAGAAAGCAAGCCACCAGGTCCAGGACTTGAACCACAGTCAGCCCTGTCTAGTGCTCCTAACCACCATGCCACCTGCGTCCCCCACCCCAGCATGTTTCTTAAGCCATTGGGTATGGGACTTGAACTGCATGGTCAGCCATGTGGGATCTACCTCCCTTAAACATGGCATGAGCTAGCCCTATGTCTTTAATTGTTACTTGCTATCCGTGATTTATGTGGAGGCTAACTTCGTTTCTTTCCTTTCCTGTGAGCCTATATCACTTTGCATTTCTCTTTAGGCTCATAGCACTTGGATGTTTTTTTGTTTGTTTGTTTTGTTTTTTGGGGGAGAGGTTTTTGCTATAGGGTAGGTACACTCGCCAGAAAGAGACAGAAAGCGAGAAATCACCCCCAAAGGGGGATGGCCATGCTGCAATCCCTTCTACTCCATTCTCCTCTCGGAATCTTGGGCACGCACTCAAACACACCTGGTGGCTGGGTCCGAGACTCGAACCGCAGTCGGCTACATGGGAGTTCAGCGACATAGCCATTACACCACTGCTGGTCCCAGCACTTGGATGTCTTTGATCGCCGTTACCACTTATATAAGTATAGCCTAGGGAAGTTTTAGATACCGATTTAACTTTTTTTTTTTTTTTTTGAGAGGTTTTTCGCTATAGGGCGCATGTGCTCGCCAGACAGACAAAGAGAGACAAAGAGACAGAAAGCTAGAAATCACCCCCCAGGGGGGGATGGTCACGCCGCAATCCCTTCTCCTCCATTCTCCTCTCGGGATCTTGGGCACGCACGCACACGTGCCCAGTGTGAGTTTTAAGCCACCGGGTCCAGGACATGAACCGCGGTCGACTACGTGGGAGTACAACGACATAACCATTATGCTAACTGCTGGTTCCCCCGATTTAACTTTTGAACATGGCAATCTGATAAGGATATAGTCATTCACTTGACTAAAGTGAAATTTGTAAATGTCATAAAATGACCTTATAGAGACTAGCAGTTAGCATAATGGCTGTGCCGCTGGACTCTCATGTAACCAGGTAACCACGCAGGTTACCAATTAGGCCCTAACTAGTAACTGATCTGGTTACCTGTCTTAACTAGTTACCAGTCCGAACCAACTTCTATTTTTCCTAACATTTTACAACTTTGGGATCCTTTCTTGTTTTCTGGCCCTTGAATACTAATATAAATTTTAAAATAACTGGATTGATTTTTGTAAACATTTTAGAGTATAGCACTTAGGATACTTGGTTAACTGAGACAGACAGCAACAGATACTATTAAATCAATCAGTCAATCAATCAATAATTCATTTTAAAAAAGAATTATTTTTTGTTTTTGTTTCTTTTTTGAGAGTTGTTTTTTTTTTTCACTATAGGGCGCGTGCGCTTGCCAGACAGACAGGGAGAGACATAGAGACAGAAAGCGCGAAATCAGGACCTATGTGATTACCAATAGTATCTGTTACTATCTATATCAGTTAACCAAGTAGTCTAAGTGTTATATTTTTAAAATGGTTTTAAAAATTTAGATTCAGTGGGATCAGCAGTTAGCATAATGGCTATGTCGCTGGACTCCCATGTAGTTGACCACGGTTCGAGTCCTGGACCCAGTGGCTTAAACTCACACCGGGCACATGTGTGTGCGTGCCCTAGATCCTGAGAGGAGAATGGAGGAGAAGGGATTGCAGCATGGCCATCCCCCCAGGGGGTGATTTCTCGCTTTCTATGTCTCTGTCTCTCTCTGTCTGGCGAGCGCATGTGCCCTATAGCAAAAACCTCTCCAAAAAAAAAAAATTTGATTCAGTTATTTTAAAATTTTTAAATTATTATTCAAGAGTCAAGAGGAAAAAGAGGATGCCAAAGGTGCAAAATGTTAGGAAGAATAGAAGGTAGTCAGTGGGATTGATTAAAGAGGATACTAGCAATGAAAGATCTATTTAGTAGTGTATGTGAAGTTCAAAAAGGTTTATGTGGGGCCACCAGGTGGCATGATGATTAAGGCGTAGGACTCTCACATGACCGACCATGGTTCGGGTCCTGGACCTAGCAGCTTGCTTCCTCACCTTCCTTCACTCTCTATCTCTTTCTCTTTCTCTCTCTCTCACTCTCTGGTCAAATAGAAAATAATAATAATAATAATAATGAAATTAAATGAAACAATTATTTTTTTAAACTTTTTGTGTTTTTTATTAAATTTATTTTAATTTACATTTTACCATGTGTTTACAGTATACATTTCTTTTTCCAACACAAAAACCATGCATGTCAGTAAAGACAAGGATATTACTATATACATTATCAGCAGCAAATAGCTTTCATTTTTTGTCAATTAAGCATACTTTTTTACCCGTTTTTCTCTTCCCCTTTTTCCTCCCTCCCTTCCATACTAAACATTTTTTTCTTTTTTTACATTTTATTAATTCACAAAAGATCTTAAAGTATGGATAAAGCTAGAATCTCATGACAAGTGTACTGTAATTTTTTTTCTGAAACATTTTTTTTTCCTCTCTCTCCATTCCCCCTTTTACCTAAGAGAGGTATAAACTAACTTATTTTCAGAAAAAAAAAATTAGGTTAATCTCAATTTGGCCTGTTATTTGCACAAAGCCCCATAAGAGTTAAATTTCTGATGCAAGGTAGCTGATACTATTGAACTTATGCAAATAACCATTCTGCCACAAAATAAGAATGCTCACAGATATTTTCCAATTGCAAAGGAGATGGGAAGGGAGAAAAGTTTATGTTTCAATTAAAAAAAAAATTTTAACAGAATGCTGAACCCAACAACTCAAAAGAAAACAAAAATCTTTAAATCTAGAAGGCAAAGCATAGGAGAAAATAAGTAATGTTTTAGAAGAAAGTCATAGAATTCTATTTCACCAGTTCAGTCTCGTGTAGTCTCTCTTTTGTTGAATTTGCGGTGTTACTGTCTGACCTTTCCGTTAACATTCAACATTATTGATGTTTTAGAACTTGTCCCTACCATGAAGTTGGCCTTTTTCTTGGTCACTTTTGGTCCTCTTATTTGTCAGTCTCTAGTTTTCCTGGTATAGTACTCTCTTCAGAACTTCTCGAAGAGCTGATCTGGTGTTGGTAAATTTTTTTACATTTTGTTTGAGAATCTTTTATTCCCACATGAAGGATAATCTTGCCAGATGCAGTATTTTTGGTTGAAATTGTTTTTCACTTAACATTTTGAATATATTTTTCCATTCTTTCTTTGCTTGCATTGTTTCCAACGAGAGGTCCGATGTTAGCCTGATGGGATATCCTTTGAAAGTAACTGGATGTTTTTCTCTTGTCAGTTTTAGTGTCTTATCTCTGTCTGTGGTTTTGGTCAGTCTGGCTATGACGTGCCTTGGAGAAGATCTTGGGTTGATTCTATGTGGGGTCCTTTGTATTTCTTGGTCTGGATATTTGAACACCTCTCTAGGTTTGGAAAGTTTTCTCCCAGGATTTTATGGAATATTTTATCAATACCCTGAATAGTTTCTTCAGCTTCTGGAATGCTGATGATCCAGATGTTTGGGCAGCTAATGGTATCTAGTATTACTCATATATTATTCTCATTTTAGGGGGTTATATTCTCAGTCTTTTTGGTGAAATTTTCTAGATAAGAGGTTCTGTCTTCTACATCTGAGATTCGATATTCTGCATGATCCAATCTGGTTTTCATACTTTCAAGGGAGGTTTAATTTCCTGTATTGCAGCCTTCATCTCTAACAGTTCTATTTGATTATTTTTTATGGTGTGTATTGCCTCTTTCAGATTGTGGATGAACTTCCTCTTCTCCTGGAACTCGTCTCTTTTCTCCTGCATCTTCTGGAGTTTATTTTCTCTCTTCTCTTGCATCTCTGTTAGCTTTGTCACTACGAATATCATAAGATCTTTATCTGACATTTCCAGGAGTTCCATTGTACTGTCTGTGGATGATGAAAGGCTGATCTTTCCCCTTGGGAGAGAGAGATTTTCTTGATTTCCCATATTTCTTGTGCCTCTGTGGTTGTGGTTCTGGTCATCTGATGGATTGATTATATGTTACTTTTTATCTTGTTTTTTTGCTGGGTGTTGGGCCAGAAGGAGGGGGGTTGGGACAGAGGCTTAAAGGGGCAGGGAAAGCCCACCTCAGATGCACCTGGATTCTGGCTTTTTCATAAAACAATCCTTAAGAAAAGGTTTATGTGAAAAATTGGAAGGCAGCAAATAAGTTTCCACTTTCAGAGAAAAGAGACCCCTATCAAGGGAGAAAGGCAATAGTAAATTTAATTTTTGTAGTATGAAAACTTCAGTTGTATTTCAATTTTTGCTTCAAGTTTGAAATACTAATAACAGCAGTTACTAGTGTAAGAAAGATAAAATATAACAGCTTTCTTTCCCCTGGCTTCCTGGAGATGGCAGTAGAATGCATACAGGAATTAACCACCAGAGTTAGGACTTAGTTTTATAGATGTAGATAGATACATAGGAAGTCCTCCAGAGTATTTCCTCTTTAGAAATAGTATATATCTTTTTTAATATAAAAAAATTAACTCTCTTATCTATTCATGATCCAGAAAGGAGCTTTTTTTAAATCCGTATTCTTTTTTCAACTATGCTGTAAACCAACTGTGTCTCTGAGCAAATCTCTTAACCTTTGGGCAGTTTTTTATCTCTAGCTCTTATTTGCTTTCAATTTAGGAGAGACTGAATCAGAGTACCTTTTGCTGAAGAATTATTAGTAAAATGTCTTTAATAATAAAATTATCCAAACCACAATTTAATTGTTTTTTTTAATTGAGGGCACATTGTAGGGGCTCACCATTCGTAGCAGGCATGGTAGTTAAGGCGCTGGATTCCCACACGGCCAATTGCATTTCAAATCCCAGACCCAGTGGTTTGCTTTCTCATTCTCTCTATCTCTTTGTCTCTTTCTGGTGAGCACACATGCTCTGTAGCAAATTAAACTAATAATAATGGAGTCAGCAGGTGGTGTGGTGGTTAAGGGCTCTGGGCTCCCGCATGGCCGACCGCGGTTCAAGACCTGGGCTTGGCAGCTTGCTTTCTCACTTTCCCTCTCTCTCGCTCACTCTGTCCCTCTCTGGTCTAATTAAGATAAATAAAGAAAGAAAATAATTTTTTAAAAAAGTATAATAATAATAGTAATGAAATTAAGTAATTTTCTTTCTTAAAGTATGGTCCTAGAAAACAGCTTGTTAAAAATGCAGTTTTGGTGTCAGCCTCAAATTCTACATCTTAACCAGGTCGCCTTTATTCATGTGTATAATGTAATTTTAGAAGCAGTGCTTTCTTTGTATTTTAGATTTATTTATTTTTTTTTTTTGCCAGAGTGCATGTGTGCTCTCCTGAGAGAGACAGTGAAAGGGAAAGTGAGAAGTCAACCCCCTCAGGGAATGGCCATGCTATAGTCTCTTCTCCATTCTCCTGTTGGGATTTTGGACATGTGCCCAGCGTGAGTTTTTAGGCCACTGTGTCCAGGACTCAAAACATGGAGTCAGCTATATGGGATCCAGCACCTTAACCCCTCGCCACCTGCTGGCTCAGGAAGCAATGCTTTAAAGTTTTATGCTGCAAGGTTAGTCATATGAACTGAACTTACTGTTCATAACAGAAATTTTACTGGGTCTTAATTGCATCTGTATCATTCTGACCACTGCAAAGTTTGCTACTTTGTGAAAATCTGAAATTCAGAAAAATTGATGAGGTGTTAAAGGTGATACCTTAGTATAATTTCCAAAGTACTAAGTAGCCATATCACGTTGAGTAAGTTCCTTAATTCTGTATTTCTCCTGCAGCAAGGATTGGGGAGACTGTTGTCAATAGTATAATTTTCTTTGAGAGATACATAGAAGAACATGAGCACAGTGGACACAACTAACGTTTTCTTATTTTACCAACATGTATTCCTTTACATATCTTCCTTTAGACTAGAAACAGAGGCACACCTTTTACTCAGTCTGTGTAGTTCCTGACCGGTAAACTGAATGGGCAACTTGTGTGATCCTTCATACTTAGAATCAAGCCTTTATATTAATGACATCCACAGGTGTTAATGTAGGTATTAATGCCCATTGAAAACAAGCTGCCCAGAGTGTGTGAGCCTGAGACTTTGTTTCAAAGGGGCAAACAGTTTTACCTTTTTTATTCTCTTGCGAATCACTAGCTTGCATTACTGTCATTGTTTCCGACCATCTAGCTTTGAACTTTGGGCAGTCCTTTCTTCTGAGGATCCTCCTGCTGTCATTTACATTCCCTGACAAGTACAAAATGCATGCGTATGTGGGAAGGTGTGTTGATTTTGGTAGAGAATAGGGTGTAGTGAAGGATCTCTTACCCATCCCCCTGTGGCCTGCAGTTTTGGGGTCTTCTATCCATCATGCTCAAATGTATCCATCTTTCTGTCTGAACCCTATTCTCTTTTAAAAATGTAGTAAGATTATCTGAAAGCATTTTGAAAACAGCAGAGCTAGGCAGGCAAGTGTATTTTCTAAAAACAGTAAATTTAATAGGCCTTTGATAAAGGATAATCTTGCATTGCAGCAATTTCCAGTCTACGTACTCCCCAAAGTGGAGTATCAAGCTTGTTATGGAGTTGAAGCTCTTACTGAAAGTGAACTTTGTTGCTTATGGACTGAAAGTTTACTGCATTCCAACTGCTCGTTTTATGTGGGTAAGTTACACAAGAGGCTTCGTTATCCTTTTTAATTGTCTTATAAATAGTAGTTTTAAACTTAATTGTAATTACTTCCATTCTGTACTTTAAGTTTTCTGATCATATTAATAGGACTTTTTTTTTTTTAAGAATTATTTTGGGACCAGCAGTTGGCGTAATGGCTGTGTCACTGGACTCCCATGTAGTCAACCACGGTTCGAGTCCCGTACCCTTTGGCTTAAACTGACACTGGGCGCGTGTGTGTGCATGCCCAAGATCCTGAGAGAAGAATGGAGGAGAAGGGAGTGCAGTGTGGCCATCCCTCTCTGGGGGTGATTTCTCACTTTCTGTCTGTCTCTTTCTCTCTTTCTGGTGAGCACATGGGCCCTATAGCAAAAACCTTTCCAAAAAAAAAAAAAAAAAGACTGATTTCATTTTATGTGTCATTATTATTTTTTTTTTTAAATTTGCTCTATGGTATATATGTGCGCCCACCAGAGAGAGGAAGAAAAAGAGCATGCACAAACCACCAGGTCCAGGACATGAACCGTGATCAACTGTGCAGGAGTCCAACACCCAAACACCACGATACCTGGTAATCCCGACACTGCTTTCTCTTAAGTACCCATTTCCACAGCAGAATTAAAGGGCAGGGGGAGTTAGGAATGTCAAATGTTGCAAATTATCTCTTATCCTGATTAGCTGTATTTAACTGTCAACATACTCATTTTTAAAATACTTACTTGGGACCAGCAGGTGGCTGGTTACATTGCTGGACTCCCACATAGTCAACTGCAGTTTGAGTCCCAGACCCGGAGGTTTAAAACTCATGCCAGGTACATGTGCCTATGTGCCCAAAATCCTGAGAGGAGACCAGAGGAGAAAGGATGTGTTGTACCCATCCCTCCCATAGGGTGATTTCTCACTTTCTGTCTCTTTGTCTTTCTCTGTCTCTCCCACAAGCGCATGCGTCCTATAGCAAAAACCTCTCTTAAAAAAAAAATAAAATATTCACTTAACAGTATAATTAACTAAAAATAGATATTTTATGACAAAATTCTTTTAAAAGTACTATTTAATTGGTTTACTATTTAATTGATTTTTAGATACTGTACACTTGGAAATTTTCTTAATAAAATTAATGACATTGTGGCCAGCAGGTGACGAGATGTGATAGTTAAGGTGACTGGACTCCCACATGGCTGACCGTGGTTCAAGTCCTACATCTGGCAGCTTGCTTTCTCACTTTCCTTCTCTCTCTAGTCAACTTCCAAAAAATAAAATAAAATTAGGACAGTGAATAAAATTAAATAAAGTAATTCTTTTAAAAAATACTAATGACAGTAAGTCAGAAAGTTATCTTGGTGAAAGAGTTTTTGGCCTGGCGGGTGGCATGGTGAGTAAGGCAAGGTACTCCCGTGTGACCAGGTAGCATATCTCACTTGACAGAGTACTTACTAACGATTTGGGGGTATATTTTCCTAACCAGCTCAAGCTGCCCCTCCATGTAGTCTCTTCCTTCCCTTTGATCTTTCAAGGCATTCTCTAACTTCTCTTAGGACTTGTTACCTTCACTTCTTTGTTGGTTATATAAATTCCTTCTTCCTGTTAGACACTAAGTAGTTGAGGTCAGAGTCTGCTGAAACTTTGTATTCTTACAGCACTTAGCATAATTCCTCTTACTGTTCAATGCTAAGAATGTATTTTTCTTTCTTTTAAAAAAGCTTATTTACTTGAAAAGGTTTTTCCTTACTTTGGTCAATCAGTATTTTGTTTTCATATTTTATGAGAGCATGGAGGAGATAATTGGTTAATTCTCTCTGCTTATCTCCAGAAGGAAGTTGCTTGGCAATGCACTGCTCCTTACCTCTCACTTTGTGCTCACTGCTGTAAGTTCGTTGTAGTGATTTTCAGTCAGTAAGCAGGATTTCAGTGTTTCCCCAAAAGACCTCACAGGGTCTTCATGTAAGCCACTTAAAAGTCATTGCCAGCTACTTGCATTTTAGAAAAGAACAAAATGATGAAATTCCTTTTAAAATACTGGCAGTGAATGGATATTTATGACTAAGACATTGGAGGTCTGAGTTGTGTTAATGTAGGCCTTCCTTCAGCTCTGTGGGTTCCCATCTGACTCATTCTCAGAGTCCTGAGTGGTTGTCGTCCTGCGTGCAGGTTACTGCCCCCTCAGTCCGGTGCACCTACCAGTCCACTCTTGCTTTGAATGTAAGGGGATGCTGTACTCGGTTTCCATGACAATTTTTTGGTGCAAAAACATGTATTGTACTATTGCAGTTGTATTGTTTTTGTTTTGGGTGTAGGTATGTGGGGGAATATGTTTTTATTTGTTGTATGTGTTTTTTTAGTTATCATTCGTAGTAAAGAGAGAGAAGTACTCTCCACAAGGCTTGGTCATTCCACAGACTCCTCCCCCCAGCCCACCAGGGCCCTGGGCGCATACACACGCGTGCCTGGAGTGTTTTCAGGCTGACCAAGCCAGGGACTTAAACTGTGGTTGGTTTGTGTCTTCTAGCTCTGTAGTCCGTGGCTGGACCTGGAAGAGTCCATTTTAAAACACTATTTTAAAGGCATCTGTGAGTTTTCAGGCTTTAAAAAAATGTTGCTATATTGCTCTTTTAATTAAAAAAAATGTTCCCCCCCAAAATCACACTATAGACTTGTTAAAGTAGAACTTGCTAGCTCCTTAGAGCGTCTGACTAAACGGGTCCATATTAGAAAGGAAGACTATATTTCAGCGTGTTCTGGGTGATGCTGCTGCTGCTAGTCTAGAGACCACACTTTGAGAACCTCTTCTGTAGCTCATGGTCTCTTTTTCAGGTAAAATAAATATACTTGTTTTTTCTTTTTTGCTTTACTTTACTATAAACATATTCCTTTTTCCTCTAGATTACAGCTTTTTTGGTGTTTTTTTTGTTCGTTTCTTTGTTTTGCCATAGGGTGCATGTACTCACCAGAGAGAGGCAGATAGAGGAAAAGTGAGAAATCACCTCCCAAGGGGGGATGGCCCTGCCATAATTCTTTCTCCTCCAGTCTCCTCTAAGAATTTTGGGCACAAATGCACATGTACCCAGTCTGTTTTTCAAGTTACTGGGCCCAGGACTCACACCACAGAGTTGGCCATGTGGGGTCCAGCACCTTAACAAGCATGCCGTCAGCTGTCCCAATTGCAGTAATCTCTTTATCCCCTTGTCCCATAAAAACATTGAGATTTACTTCTTTAAGAAAATGTCCATAGTAGTCTCATCACAACTTCTGTATTTATCCTCTGATCGTATAATGTTAATCAGTTCTGTACAGTTGACGTGTAGTCAGTCCTCACTTTGCAGAGTTCTGATAGGCACAACTTTCATTTATGAAGATATATTAACTGAGTAATACATAAAGGACAAACTTGAGTGCTGGTTCTTTGTTTTTTTTTTTTTTGAGAGAGAGTTTTGCTACAGGACCCATATGCTAACCAGAGAGCTAGTTAGACAGAAAGTGAGAAATCACCCCCCAGGGGGATAGCCGTGTACCAATCCGTTCTCCATTCTCCTCTCGGGATTTTGGGCATGCACACACATATGCCTGGCATGAGTTTCAGATCACTGGGTCCAGCATTTGAACTGCAGTCAGCCACTTGGAAGTCCATTGCCTTAACCACTATGCCACCCACTAGACCCCACTACTGGCTCTTAAGTCTACAAATCACCACATAAACAACAGGTGTACACAATGACCAATGACCAGTCATGTTACTTCCTTTGAAGCTTTTATGATTTGTCACTGTGCCCCTCTTACTGAGTTCACCTGTTGCTTCCTTGTCATTCAGTGATAAACCTATGTGACATTTTGATGGAAGTGGATATCCAGAAGAGTAAATTGGCCTAGTCATGGTGGCACAGGTGGGAGAACATGGCTCTGCAATACTGGAGCTACATAGGAAGTCCAGGGTTTGGACTCCAGGTCACCTGGACATGCTGGTGTGCCTGTGGCCCTGGCTGGCAAGAGGGCTACAGGAAGGTTGCAGCGCTGCACAGTCCTGTCAGAGGTCCCTGTTCACCTCTCCCCAGGCTTTCCTCTCTACCTTGGCCTTTTCTTCCTCTCCCCCCACCTCAGTTAATGAAATAAACTTTAAAAAGGAAGGATCACCAACAAAGATTAAAACAGAGCAAACAAAAAGTGATACTGCTGGAAGTGAGGTTGACGTCACAGCTAAGTGGATGCAGAAGAAACAGCTGACGGGAATGTTGGCACTGCAGCTGTTCAAGGACTGTAGATCTGCTGCCAGAGGAACTTAGTGAAGGCAAGCTTGTTGGCATCAGTGAGGAAAGTGGTTGTGACATTAAATATGAAGAAGTGACACTAGCATAAGATTTTACATTCAAGGAACTCCTGGAGATATTTTATGTTATTGAAAGCACAAAGAATGCAATGTTGGAAGCTGATCCTAAGTGAGAAAATGGAATGACAGTTCACCCAGTGTAGGAGAGATGTTTGCTTCTTGTCAAGCTGTACAAGAAGGCAGTAGGCAGTGCTGAAACTACTCTTGGTAAAGGTTTTATAAAGAAATAAAACACTATCATTCTAAGTGTATTTATTGTTTTAATTACAGTGCAGTAAATAAGGATTCCACTATTTCAATTTCCTATACAGTTGTAATTGGTGTAGAATTTATGATGCTTTGACAATTTTTTATTTTATTTTTGGTATAGGGTGTGTGTACTCGACAGAGAAGGCTTGGGGACTGAGAGATCACCCCTGAGGTAAAGGCCACACTGCAATCCTTTCTCTACTCTCAGGACTTTGGCCATGCATGTACTCGTGCCCAGTGTGATTTTCAAGCTCCCAGGTCTGGGACTCAAACCACACAGCTAGCCTTGTGCCATCCAACACCTTAGCCCCTATGCCTGGCTTTGAAAAAAATTTTAATGACAGAGCAACCTTAATTTGCTCCATTGATTATTAAAATCACTTGCAGGGAGGGCCAGAAGGTGCCATGGTGGCATAGTAACTGTCCCGCATGGCTGACCATGAATCAAGTCCTGGACCTGGCATCTTGAAAATCATGCTGGGAGACCAACAGATGGCATAATGGCTATGTCACTGGACTCCCATGTAGTTGACCCTGATTCGAGTCCCAGACCCAGTGACTTAAACTCATGCTGGGCACATCTACATGTGTGCCCAGGATCCCAAGAGGAGAATGGAGGAGAAGGGATTGCGGCATGGCCATCCCCCCTGGAGAATGATTTCTCCCTTTCTGTCTCTCTGTCTCTCTGGCTTTCTGGCAACCACACGCACCCTATAGCAAAAACCTCTCAATAAAAAAGAGAGAAAACCATGCCAGGCATGTATACGTGTGTGCCTAGAATCCCAGGAAGAGAACAGAGGAGCAGGGATTGCGGCCTGGCCATTCCCTGGAGTGTGATCTCTCACTTTCCCTCTTACTGTTTCTCCAGTGGGTGCATGTACACTATGGCAGAAGCCTAAAAAAAAATAAAGACAAAAATCATTTTCAGGATTTCAGCTTGTATGATCATTTCTGTTGCCCTGTACTGCATGCAAAACAAGGACTGTTTGTATGTACATATGAATGTATGTGCACATGTGTGTATATATATATATATATATAGAGAGAGAGAGAGAGAGAGAGAGTGTCTGAACCACACTACATAAAGCAGTGCTTGCCAACTTTGACATACACAAAAATGCTTGTGTAACACCCTGTAATATACAGAAGAGATTGCTAATGACTGAAGGGCAATGGCTAGGATGCTCTCGCTATCCCAGGCCTTGCTTAGCTGCTGGGAGGCTGAGGAGATTACTAGCTCAAGCACACAGATAACACATTTGAGGCCTGCAGTTTAGAAAGCTCCGATGTGAGGAAGTTGCCAACTTCTACAGGAAGTAGACCCTCATAGCACTTGGTATGCTATTCTCTATGGAAGTTATTTTTAACAGACCATATTTTTCACTGAATTTCTTTAAAAAGGCAAGAACTGTTAGTCTTCTCAAAGGCATGTTTAGTAAACATCTAAAACTATTTTATATGTATTATTCCTTTATATTGTTATTAAACTGTTCAGATGTATCTTTGTTATTAGAAATGCATCATGTTAGAAATACAGAGATGAAACTAAAATTTGATATGAGAAATAGCAAGTAGGTGTGGGAACAGATGGATCTGTCCCAGAAGGAAGGCTCTGGTAAAATGTTTCTAATTAAATTCTCTGTATGAGCATAAAACAAACTGAGTGAAAAGGGGCTGAATATGAAAATAAGGTATTAAGTTATGTGCATGTTTTACTGTCCCCGTGATTAGGATCAGCTGTGTAGGTAGTTTGTTTTGATAACTAAATATTGGGAGTTAAAAAAATAAAAGTGGTATTATCGTCATTGGTAAGTATTATACTCTTATCAGGCTAGTTGATGTTTTTAACATGGTTTTAGTGTTGCCTTGATTGTATTGCATTTAACACAGCACTATCTTTTATATCACTCTTCCTTGGTACATTTCAAGGTCTCAACTTACTTGTATTCTGAAATATATACACACTGGTTTTTAAAATTTTACTTTATTGTTGTTTTTTGTTATTTTTAAATTTACTATAGGGCTGTGCACTCACCAGACAGAGACATGGGCATGTACTCACATGTCTCCAACATAAGTTTCAAGCCACTGGGTCCAGGACTTGAACCACAGTCAGCCATGTGGGAGCCCAGCACTTTAAACACTATGTCACCTGCTGGTGCATATTGCTTTTTAAAACAGAAGCATCATCTTGAAAATTTGCTGTTTTGTTTTCATAGAATTCTAGGTACGTGTCATATTTGTAAGACAGACTCTGAGCAGACTGCTTTGGGTTTTTTGTTTGTTTTTAATTTGTTATAGGGCATGTTTGCTTCTCAGAGAGAGACAGAATGAAAGTGAGGGAGCATCCCCCCCAGGGGATACGGTCATGACGCAGTCACTTCTCCTCCATTCTCCCCTCACACATATACAAGTGCCTGATTTTTTTTCAAGCCACCATTTGAGGCCCACAAGTTAGAAAGCTCTAGTGGGAGGAAATTGTAAACTCCTGTATGAGGTAAACCCTCAAACCTCAATGTTGGCCATGTAGAACCAGCCATCTTAACCACCATGCCATTGGCTGGCCCAACCATGGGAAATCTTGTGATGTGCTTTAATTAAAAATAATAAGCAGAACCAGCAGTTGGTGTAATGGCTATGTCGCTGGACTCCCATGTAGTCAATTGACCATAGTTCAAGTCCCAGATCTGGTGGTTTAAACTCACTCCAGGTGTGTGTGTGTGTGCATGCCCAAGATCCCAGGAGGAGAATGGAGGAGGAGGGATTGCAGCATGCCCATCCCCCCTCACTTTCTCTCTGTCTGTCTCTGTCTTTCTGGTGAGCGCACACGCCCTGTAGCAAAAACCTCTTCCCCCTCCCCCCCAAAATAATAATAAGCAGTCTTTTAATAATCTAATTATTATCTTAGAGATGTATCGAGCATGCCCAGACTATATATTTAATTTTATCTGCTTATAAAGAATAGGTACATATTTTTCTTCTTAAAAAAATCCATAAAAATGCAACTTTAATAAGAATTAGAGAAATGTGGGTTTTTTTTTTTTTTTTTTTTTTTTTAGAGGTTTTAGCTATAGGGTTTATGCTCTCGCCATACAGACTGAGACAGACAGAGAGACAGAAAGCAAGAAATCACCCCCCAGGGGGAATGGCCATGCCGCTATCCCTTCTCCTTCATTCTCCTCTAGGGATCTTGGGCACACATGCACACGTGCCCGGCGTGAGTTTTAAGCAACTGGGTCCAGGACACGAACCGCGGTCGACTACATGGGAGTCCAGCGACATAGCCATTATGCTAACTGCTGGTCCCAGAAACATGTTTTTTAATAGTCACTATTAAACTGAAGGCTTACATATGATTTGTATGTGTGTGGATATGCATAGACTTTTTTATGTTCAAATGTTTTAGAATGAGAACATATTCCTTTTATGATCTAAAGTTATTATTTCTTCAGTTTTGCTATAAGGCATGTGTGCCTGCCACAGAGAGTCATAGTGGGAGGGGAAATGAGAAATCACCCCTAGAGATGGCTATGCCTCAGTCCCTTCTCTATTTTTCTTCTAGGATTTTTGGGCACGCATGCACAGCCTGTTCCTCAGGCCACCAAGTCTGGGACTCAAACCATGGTCATGTGGGATCCAGCCACCCTACCCATCATGCCACCAGCTGGCCCTATAATCTAAAGTTTTATGTTATTTTAAAATACAGTTTTATTTAATAAACTTAAAATGTGTTTATCTTCTTTTTAAAATGTAGAATTCCTTTAGAGTTATTAAAGTTTTTTTTTAAACATGAGATTAGATAACTTATTTTTTGTTTTTTAAATGCTGCAATTACTTTTCCTTTTTAAGTTTACTATTGTATTTTAGGGCATATCGATGCATTTACTTCAAAGCTTTTTCTGCTAGAAGAAATTACCTCCGAAGAATTACAAGAAAAGCTTTCAGCACTCAAGTAAGAAAGTTTACTTTATGGTCGGAATTGAAAAACTTGTTCACATGATCACTTACAAATCTCTAAATATTGGTTATGTTTAATTTATTTTTAATTCTTTTATACATTGAGACTTCTCTGATGCAATTTGTGATCCATCCGTAGTAATCATTTCCATCTCCAAATTAGATACAAGGCTAGAAAGGCATCAGCCTTTCTGTTATGGCAAGGGAGCCTGGAGATAGCGGCCGCCATCTTGAAGTGCATGGGACGCAAACATTCCCCTTACAGGGAAGAGAAAGGATAAGACAGTCACAGATTCTTAGTTTTCAGGATTACATGCACTGATTTAGACACCCTAACTTTAAAAGTTGACCCTTCTTCCAAGCATTATTATCAAACAAAATGAATTTGTTAACATTCAGAACTCTACATACCTAAATGTAAAAATCATTTATGGATATTTTTATTTTTCTCTTTATTCAGAATAGAGTGCGTGCATGCCCATGTTAGAGTGAGAGAGAGATGAGCCCTCCGCAGGGTCTGGTCACATCTCAGTCTGTTTCCGCCAGTCCTCCGTGCCCTTGGTCTGGGCACTTGTACATAACCCCTGCATGTTGCAGGCTGACAACCGTGGTCACCACGTGGGATCTGGCTTCTCTGAGCAGTACATTACCACTGCACGAGGAAGCCAACCATTTTATGCACGTTATCTCATCTGTGTGTCACAGCTTCCTAGGAAAGGCTGGTGGCAGTATCATTTCCATTGTGTAGATGCGAAAACCAAGACTTCAGGAGACCTGCCCCAGACTACACAGGCTAGCTAGTGACAGCTTCGGTAGTTAATATGTTCGATTCACCACGTAAAATGAGAAATGGTCAACTTTGGGGCTTGGTACGGTTTTTAAGAGTTCCACATTCAAACCCGAATTCTCTGCTCATACTTAAATACGCGCACCTTCTGTTATAAGTATTTCTTCTCTTGAATGGTGACTTTTGTTTAATTTAGGTTTATAGAAAGGCTTTTCTGTACCTTACTCACTGCTTGCAAAACTCTCCCAGTGCAAACCATTGAGTTCTAGAAGAGATACTGAAGAAATATTTAGAATAATATATTTTATTTACATTTAGCAATTCTATTCTCTATCGGTATCTTTGTTATTGCACGTTTAAAGTAACCATAATTTTCTTTGGACTCTAATTCACCACTATCTCTAAAAGCCAAATTCTTCTTCAGATTAGCTGGAGTAAAGACTTTATTTATTTTTTTTTGGAGAGATTTTTGCTATAGGGCGCGTGCGCTTGCCAGACAGACAGAGAGAGACAGAGAGACAGAAAGTGAGAAATCACCCCCCAGGGGGGATGGTCACGCCGCAATCCCTTCTCCTCCATTCTCCTCTCGGGATCTTTGACACGCACGCACACGCACCGGCGTGAGTTTTAAGCCACCGGGTCCGGGACGCGAACCACGGTTGACTACGTGGGAGTTCAGCAGCATAGCCATTATGCTAACTGCTGGTCCCTCTGGAGTAAAGACTTTTGAACACTTTTTCTGCCTTTTTTTTTTTTTTTTAAGAGGTTTTTGCTGTGCATTCTCCAGACAGACAGAGACAGAGAGACAGAAAGTAAGAAATCACCCCCCGGGGGGGGATGGCCATGCCACAGTCCCTTCTCCTCCATTCTCCTCTCGGGATCTTGGGTACACGTGCACACGAGCCTGGCGTGAGTTTTAAGCCACCGGGTCCAGGATGCGAACTGCGGTCGACTACATGGGAGTCCAGCAACATAACCATTACGTTAACTGCTGGTCCCAACACTTTTTTTTCTTTTTAGGGTTTTTACCATAGGCCACATGCCCTCACCAGTGATGGGGGAGGGGAGGAGAGACAGAAAGAGAGGCAGAGAGAAAGTGAGAAATCACTGCCAGGGGGATGGCCACACCACCAGCCCTTCTCCTCCATTCTCCTCTGCAGATATTGGGCACACACGGTGTGATTTTTAAGCTGCCAGTTCTGGGACTTGAACCATATTCAGCCATGTGAGAGTCCAGCTCTTTAACCATCATGCCACCTGCTGACCCCTTAACATTTAGTGTGAAATATAATAGTTATCTCATTAAAGCTGCTCTGACTCATACAAAACCAAATATTTTATGAAGGGAAATGAGGAAATCATAAGAATAAACTAATCTAAATAAAGATAAGTTTTCGTTAGTTTTGTTTATCTCATGTTTTTTTATTGTTGTTGAACACATATCTCTTCTTATCTGTAAAATAAATTAATCGTGGCTTAATGTTGCTGAATTTCTTCTGTTTAATAGGATTTCAAGTTTATTTAACATCCTCCAACACATTCTAAAAAAATTAAGTAGGTAAGTATTCTTTTAACATTTTGCATTGATATGTTTGTTTTTACTAAGTCAATATTCTTAGAAACTTTGAAACTATGTTGTTAGGGATATATAGAAAATAATCTGGAAATGCAGAAATTATTGTGTCAAGGTGGAAGTTGTAAACATAAATAAAAAAAATGGTATGATTGAATCTGTCTAATGAACTAGGTATCTATGCTTTCCTATAAGTCTGTAAGGTTAGTTTTCTGTTGCCACTATAACAAATTACCACTAACTTAGTAGCTCATATAACACAGTTTCTTACCTTTATAGTTCTAGAGGTCAGAAATCCAAAATCAGTTTCCCTGGGCTAAAGTCAAGGTATCAGCGGGGCTGGATCCTTCTGGAAGTGCTGAGGAGATTCATTTCTTTGCACTTTCTAGTTTCTAGTGGCCATCTTACTTGACTTGTGGCCCGTTCTTCCGTCATCAGAGTGCATCACTCAAGTCTCGCGTCCACTGCCTTCTTCCTTTATCCCTCCTCGCTCATAAGAACCCTTAGGATTGTGTTGGGCCTACCCAGACTCAGGGTAACCTCATCTCAAAATCCTGAACTTCTTCCCATTAGCAGAGCCATTCGAGGTCATGTAATCATGGATCCTGGAGATTAGTTGTGGACAGCATGAGGAACGGTTACTCCATCTACCATATCTACATTCTGTTCCTTTTCTGTCTAAAGAAGTAACATGGAGCTAGTGATCAAAAGTCATTAGGTCCATGGCATCTCTTAGAATATGGATTCTCCATTCGATCATTTATCAGGCTGTTTTATAATGTGAACTTTTGCATTCTTTCTGTTTTGTTCTTACCAAAAGATAGACTAGAAAACAGTTCAAGAGTCAGCTGAAAGTCAAAATCTCCAAGGTCTAGTTCTGCCTATCCACTTAATTTATTATACACCTAGATACCGGTTTTCTTATTTGTGAAATGATGGTGTCGGGTGCAGTAATTTACTACCTGCTTTTCTGAGGTTCTGTGATCGGGTTTTTCTTTTCTATATCCTCTTCTTCATATGAAGAAGTATAATGTTTATACATGAAATTTGCCAGATGCTTTTTAAAATTGTAATATCAATCCGTTATTTAGTTTGTGTCTAAGTTTTTCAACACATCTGTAACACATTACCATAAAATTATTTGGCAGCTTCTAAGACAGAGAGGTCTAACTGATCTAACTGTATTAAAGTCACAGATTTAGCAGGGCTGCACTCCTTCCTCACAGTAGGGTCTCTTTCTCATCCTTTATAACTTCCGGAGGCCACTGTGTTCCTTGACATACGGCTCTCTTTCTCCAACTTAAACATTACAAAGGTGAATTGAGTCCTCAAATCACTCAGCCTTTTCTATAGTCACATCTTTCTCTGAGTCTCTTCTGCCTCTTCCATCTTGTGATTGCACTGTGCCCACCTAGGTAATCAGGAAGATCTGACCATTTTAAAGTCAGCTGAATGGCACCTTTAATTCTATTCTGCTACTTAATTCCCCCTCACCATGTAACGTATCATATTCACAGGTTCCAGAGTTTGAGACACACACATTTTCAGGAGGCTATTTTTCTTCCCACCATAGTTTGTATCCATCAATGTATATTGCATTTCTGTGGTACTTGTAAGATACCCCTAGAACTGTCTCGTTCTCGTTGGACCTAATATATTCCTGTATAAACAAAAGCTTTCTTCATTTTGAGTGAAGATAATTAAGATATATGACTTTCACTGATAAAAGATCAATCTTTGTAATGTTACATATGCCCATTACCAAATCAAATATTATTCATTTTCCTTTATGGAAATGTGAAAGTAATTGGGAAAAAAAATTCTTCAAGGTGTAAGAGTATGTCTTTGAACCTCCTTTGTCAACTCCTATTACTTTTCAGTTTAAAAAATTAATGAAAGGAGATGGATACTGAACTTGAGCTGTGAAATACTGCTTTTCTTGACTAAAAATGAAGAATTTCTGCTGAGACTTCTTCCTCCAGATTCATTTCTAGTGGATAGGGATACCTCTGTCTCCTTCTCTCCATTTCTCTCTGTCTCCGTCTATCTTTCTGTGTCTCCCTATGACTTTTATTTATTTTTTTTAAGGTAAAATATTCTTTGGGCTCTCAAGCCCCTCCTTTATTGTGCTAATTGGTGTCTTTCCCCATTTCATTTAGGAAAGGCACAAACACAGGCCCATCCTGAGATGGATACAGAACTTGAGCTGTGAAATATTGCTTTTATGTGCTGTGCAATTTTCATTTTTTGCTTTTTTTTTTTTTTTTTCACCCCCTGGGGGGATGGTCACGCCGCAATTCCTTCTCCTCCATTCTCCTCTCAGGATCCTGGGCACGCACACACACGCGCCCAGCGTGAGTTTTAAGCCACGGGTCCGGGACGCAAATTGCGGTCGACCACATGGGAGTCCAGTGACATAGCCATTACGCCAACTGCTGGTTCCCATTTTTTGCTTTTTAAAATTAAAATCTAAAGTTTTTTTTATTACCTTCTTTCCCCTTTTTTATTTTATTTTTTCTTCTTCTTTCCTCTTCTCTAACTTTTTTTTTCTTTTTTCTTTATCTTTATTCATTGGCTGCTCAGCCTCTACTCACTAAGTGTCTAGACAGGTCCAAGTGAATAGGATCCAAACATCTGAATATGATTAGGGTCAGAATATTCCTCTAGTCCCACTGAATCTGATACACGAAGAGTGAAAACATAACAAAAGAGAGATTGCAGATCACCACTCCTGCACGCCTCTGAATGCTCAGATTGACTTCAGGAATTAGAAAGAAACACACCATCTATCAGATGACTAGAAATCACCACAGAGTCACAAGAAACATGGGAAAGCAAAAAAATACCTCTCCTCCAAGGAAAAAGAATAACTTCTCTTCATCCTCAGTACAGTGATACTCATGGAAATGTCAGATAAAGAATTTAGAATATTCATAGTGACAAAGTTAGCAGAGATAGAAAAGGAGAGAGACAGTGAACTGCAGAAGAGGCAGGAGAAAGGAGCTAATGAGTTCCAGGAGGTCAGGAAATTCTTACAGATCTAAAAGAGGAAATATACACTATAAGAAAGAATCAAATGGAGCTGTTAGAGATGAAGACTATAATACAGGAAGTCAAAACCTCCCTTGAAAGTATTAAAAGCAGACTAGATCATACAGAAAATCGAATCTCAGATATAGAACATAGAACCACTGGCCTAGAAAAATTCACCACAAAGATTGAGAAAGTTGCCCCCCAAAAATGAGAACAGTATATGAGAAATTCTAGATACCACCAAACATCTGGATAATTGGTATCCCAGAAGGCGAAGAGACTCATAAGGGCATTGATAACCTATTCCATGAAATCCAGCAAGAAAGCTTTCCAAACCTAGAGAGTCATTCAGAGATCCAGTCCCAAGGAATACAAAGGACCCCAAATAGAATCAACCCAAAAAGATCTTCTCCAAGACACATTATAGCCAGATTGACCAAAGCCACAGACAAAGACAAGATACTAAGATTGGCAAGAGAGAAACATCAAGTTACCTACAAAGGATATCCTGTCAGTCTAATGGCGGACTTCTCTTGGAAAAAATGCAAGCAAGGAAAGAATGGGAAAATACGTTCAAAGTGTTAAGGGAAAAGCAGTTTCAACCAAGAATACTGTACCCGGGAAGATTACCCTTCATATGGGAAGAAAAGACAAGAACATCCTCAGATAAACAAAACCTGAAAGAATTTACCAACACCAGACCAAGAAGTTCTGATGGGAGTGCTATATCAGGAAAATTAAATACAGACACACAGAAAACTAAGAAAATGGCCAGTGGGGACAAGTCTGGAGTTGAATATTATATCCAGAATTTAATCGGGAAGATCGAATCACAGCAGAAGATAAAGTACATGAGACTGAACTGGTGAAATAGATTTTTATGCTTTTGAGAAAAGCATGGCTGATTTTCTTCTAGGCTTTGTATTCCGGTTTTAAGGATTTTTGTCCTGTCTTAAGCTGCCGATAGGTTCATGGACCTACTAATTGAACAGAATCCTAAACTTTCCTCCTGGGTTTAAGTTTTAAGCAAAGTTCCTTAGCATTTCCTTGATTTATAAAGCTAAAACTGCTTTTCTTGAAATTAAAATATACCTATTTAATGTCTGTAGTAAACTGTGTAGCATCAGCTAGGTGCTACATCATAGTATATTCATTCTACTCAGAGTTTTACTCCTAAAATCAGACGTACTCACAGGTATGTATATACGAGCTGAACTTGGTATTGAAAGTAGTTAGAATATTTAAGAAATTTTGTGAATCAATAAAGTGTAGGGGAAAAAAGGAATGGAAAACAACTTCAGACACCTGAGACAGTGTGGGAGGAGGGTGGGAAATGGCAGAGGTTAAGAAATAGAGGGAAAAATATACATATACATACATATATATAAAACTAGAAATGGAAAATTATTGACGATAACATGTATGATTAAGCCACTATGCAGTGTATTCTGGATGGAAAATCACACTTTATATGCTGTAACGACGCTCAGTGAATGAATGTTAATTAAAAATTTTTTAAAAAGTTAATGAAAACATAACTTACTGGTTTGTGGGCAGATCCGTATAACTAAAGTATGATTAATCTCTATTTTTAATAATATATTATGGGAAAGAACTGATGTTCTCCTTGGCCCCTTTGATCCAGAGGAGTGTATAATCCCAAAGAAGCACTATATTAATCATATCCTTTAGCTTTTTATGATGGTGCATTGAATCCCTTTAAGGTTTATAAGGAAGAAGGAAAATGCAGATTTGATGTCTGACATAAGTGATTATTGTGTCTGCAGAGGACGTGATGAAGGGTTGGCCTGTGGAGTTCAACCCCCTGGTTTTATATCCAAGGCCTCTGCTCAGAACTGCAGGCAAATTGTTGAGCATCTGTAATTTGTTTGTTTATCTCCAGTGTGGGGTTAATAATTAATATTATGCCTTGAAGGTTTGTTGTGAAGGATTTAATGAGAAAATGGACGTGAAGCAGTACAGCAGTAGTTTGCTATGGTAAACATTCGATCTCTGTGAACTGCCATTTTACTGTTGCCTTCCTCGTAGTACCTCATGCTGTGTCATGGTTGTCCCATTAACTGTTTCTGCCACTTTATTTTAAACTACTCAGCATAGTGGATTTGCCACATCTACCTTTTTATCTTGATTCAGCTGTTCATTACTAGACCACAATATAGGCGCAATGCTTAATGAGTGAAAATGTTCTAGAAATACTTTTCAGTGTAAGTATTTGTTGTCCATGGATTAGAGAATGACCCAGACTGTGGTTTTTCACTAAATGATTGAAAACTTACAAATTGATATAACAGAAAAAAGAAAATAATCAATTATTCTGAAATTCAAAATAAGAATTGAAATTACTTGCCCTTTTTTTTTTTCTTTTTGAGAGATTTTCACTGTAGGGCGCGTGCGCTCGCCAGACAGACAGAGAGAGACGTAGAGACAGAAAGCGAGAAATCACCCCCCAGGGGGGATGGTCACACCGCAATCCCTTCTCCTCCATTCTCCTCTCGGGATCTTGGGCACGCACGCACACGCACCCGGCGTGAGTTTTAAGCCACCGGGTCCGGGACACGAACCGCGGTTGACTACGTGGGAGTCCAGCGACATAGCCATTACGCTAACTGTTGGTTCCCGAAATTACTTGCCTTTTAGACATGGAAATAGTTTTAAAGACTTCTGAAATCTAATTTGGCCGTAAATCTGTTTTTAGAGGTTGTATTGCATTCCTACAATTATTTTCAGTCGCCAATAGATAATGATTAATGAGGTGCTGTTGAAGTTGACAGACTAAGCCAGTGAGTTGAGTTTTCTTGTATGAATTCAGCTTGCAGGAGGGTTCCTACTTACTGTCTCATGCAGCAGAAGATGCTTCACTCCTGATCTATAAGTCTTCTGACGGAAAAGTTACCAGGACAGCGTATAACTTGCATAAAACACACAGCGGCCTTCCTGCTGTACCTTCCAGTCTCTCAGTGCCCTGGGTCCCATTAGATCCTGATCTCTTACTACCGTATCATGTCTATCATGGAAGAATTCCCTGTACTTTCCCTCCGAAATCACTGGATCCCACAACATCACAAAAGGTAAGATTGTTTTTGAAATTAGATCTCCCACTAGATTGTTTATGCCTAATCTGTTATTTACTATACCATGTTTTCACCTGAGCCCAGCCTGGTAGCACAGTCAGTAGCAAACTGAACTGCGCTGTTGGAAGGCACGTGGTCTGCTGTGGGTTTGGGCCCCTAGATGAGCTTGAAAACATGCCCAGCATTCGTGTGCGCCCAATATCTTTTCAAGCCGGGGGGCTGGAAGAGAGGAGAATACAGCATGATGAGACCCTGTCAAGAGTGCTTCTTTTTCTCCCTCTCCCTCTCCCATGTGCACCTGCAATCTATCATGAATAAAATAACTTTTTAAAGAAAGGATGAGTATGACACAGTGGATGATAATATCTTTAGCTATCACTTTCACAAGAGATGTTATTCAACTGGTGTGTATGGAAAAGGTTCTATAGAGAATAACATTAATTGTAATTCAGTAAATATATTTAAATTATTTAATACTTAGCAAAACACACTTTAGTCCTGTTTTTTTTGTTGTTGTTGTTGTTTTGTTTTTTTTTTTTTTTTGGTACAGGGCACGTACGCTCGCTAGAAAGACAGAGACAGAGAGACAGAAAGCAAGAAATCACCCCCCAGAGAGGAGGGCCATGCCGCAATCCCTTCTCCATTCTCTTCTCGGGACCTTGGGCATGCACGCACACACGCCCAGTGTGAGTTTAAGCCTCCAGTTCCGAGACTTGAACCCCAGTCAACTACATGGGAGTCCAGCAACATCGCCATCATGCTAACTGCTAGTCCCTAGTCCTGAATATTCTAGTCGTATATTTAATATTATCTAATTACTAATACTTGTTTTTTTATTTTTCCATATCTTATAAATTTTTAATTATATCATAATTTTGTTGTGTCTTCTGCAAATTGTCTCAGATAATTCATGAAATGAAACCAAGTATACATAAAAAAAATTAATAGACAATATGACTGCTCTTCATAGGAACCCAGAGATTTAACTGCATGACCCTCCACAGAGTCTGGTCACAAGTAGTCCCCTTCCTTCAGCCTGTCAGATTCTGAGCTCTTATGTTCATGCCCAGCAGGCATGACCAGGTGGACCAGGCCAGGGAGTAGAACCTTGGTTACCATGCGGGATCCAACTTCTCTGGAGCAACATGTTACCTTTGTGCAACTACCTCATGTGCAAATTCCCAGTTGAGTTTAGTTGTAGGAAACATTTTTCCTCTCTACAAATGCATTTGAATGTTCAAGAAACAAAAATCCAGTATACTTTTCTTCCCCACTCCCAAAAGTCTTGGAGTCAGAATTATTGTCTAAATTCTCGTCATCTCAGCATGGTTGCTCAAGAGCATCAGTCATTTGTGTATCCACTGGATATTCAGTTCTTTTATATATAACTGTAAAATACTATTTTATAGATAGTGAAGGCACATGGCCTACTGTGGGTTTGGGCATGAAAGTATTTAAAAGACATCTTATTTGGCCATAAAAGTGTTTGTAGAGGTTGTATTTCATTCCTACAGTTATTTTCAGTAATTGAAAATAAAATATCTATATGTATATAGTATAAAATACTATTTTATAGATATATGTATTATACTAAATGAATACATAAATGTCCTCAAGCCCTTTTGAGAAATTTCTAAAATTTAAATTCTTAGGATTTATTCATTGAATGGGGTTATTTATGTTTTTCAGTTTTCCCTTCTAAAATTACTGTTTGGGAAGATCCATTTAGAAGTGACAGCTCCTTGTGCATTCCTAGGTGACTTTGGCCAAGAAAGTGTAACTGTGGTTAACTAGTTGGGATAGTGAAAAAAATGGAGAACATTAGTGTTCCACTATAACCTATTTTATCTACAGTTTTTGTTGGCTCTCTCCTGCTTAAGTGTAATTTAAGTAGTGATTTTTATATCCTACTAATGAAAAATTTCTTAAGTAACTTAAAAATATTAGTTGCAGGGGGGCAAGCAAGAGCATGGTAGTTAAGATAGTCACATGCTCACATGGCCGAACATGGTTCAAGTCCCAGACCCACTAGATCAAAAATCAGGCTGAGTGTCTGTACATACATGCCTAAAATCTCGAGAGGACACTGGAGGAGAAATAACTGCAGTAGTACCATCCCCTCTAGGGGTGAGTTCTCACTTTCCCTCTCTGTCTCTCTCAAGTGAGCACACATGCCCTATTCTCTCTCAAGCGAGCACACATGCCCTATGACAAAAACCTAAGGGGGAAAAATGACCACATAAAGGTTTTTTTTGTTTTTTGTTTGTTTGGTTTTGGTAGAGTTTTTTGTCTTAGGGTGCACGCGCTTGCTGAAGAGAGGGACAGAGACAGGGAGTGAGAAAGTGAGAAATCACCCCCCCAGGGGTGATGGCCATGCTGCATTCCCTTCTTTTCCATTCTCCTCTTGGGATCTTGGACACATAGTCACATGTGCCCAGCATGAGTTTCAAGCCACCAGGTTTGGGACTTGAACTACACTTGGCCATATGGGAATCCAGCAACATAACCACTGTGCCATGTGCCGGCCCTGGCCACATACAGTTTAACAGTTCAATCACATATAGATCACTGGTGATTTATGTTTTTTAAGATGCTTCATGCTCTCAGTCCAAGAACAAATATTTAGTTTATCCAGGACAAGTTGTACAATCCCGTGTTAGATACAGTAGACAATTAGATAACTTCTTGGTTTGGTGTACTTTTTTTTTTTTTTTTTCCTGGAGTCATTTATGCTGTAGTGAAATAAGCCAGGCACAAAGGGACAGATAAATAAGGTACTGCTCCACTTACATACGGTTCCCAAAACAGTCACTCATAGGAGAGAAGGTACAATGGAGGCCATCCCTGTCCAGAGTGCTTGGGACCAGAAATGCTTCAGATTGTGTGTTTCCTGTTTGGGTTTTGGAATATTGGCATGGACCAACTGAGATTATGTTGGAGGATGAGACCCAAATCTAAACACAGAATTGCTTTATATCGTACATACACTTTACACATAGTTTTGTACAGTGCTTTTGAATTGCAGCACCTCGACTCCACCTGGCACATGAGGTTTTGTAGTGAGGTTTGATGTACTTTTGAAAGTCACTAGAAGGTTTTGATGTCCTCTTGCTGCCCCACAACCTAGCTCTACATTTGGCAGGAATTACCCCACTTTCCTGGTAGCCATGCTGTTAGAATGGGATTCTCTAGTTCTAACCAAGCTAAGTGCATAGTAGGGCTTGTAGCCTTAGCAGCAGTGGGGAAAGATCAGAGCTCTTCAGAAACCAGAAGTCATCTGCTTACTTGCATGGTGAATAAATGAATGTAATGAATATTTTTGCCCCTGATGAAGCGAAGCCCCGTAGTCCCCAGACCATGTGAACTCAGGTCTCGTCCTTGTACAGTGCTGAAACACCCCAATAGAGCCTGCGTGCCCTCCCTGTGGCATCCAGCAGAGATTCTCTTGAAGACTCCATTTGCCTCCCGCGCCACTTAGGACTTTGGCTTCCAGTTATTGTTATTTTTATTAAGATTTTTTTTACATTTTAAAATTTTACATTTAATCACTGTACATATTTACATTGAACAAAGCACATATGAAAAAAATGCTTAGCATCTCTTATCATAAGGGAAATGCAAAGTAAAACCACAGTGAGATACCACTAAACCCCAGTCAGAATAGATAAGATTAAAAAAATCAAGAATGGGAACTAGGAGATGGCATAATGGTATGTCACTGGACTCCCACGTAGTCGACTGTGTTTCGAGTCCCGGACCTGGCAGCTTAAAACTTAGGTCGGGCGCATGTACGTTTGTGCCCAAAATCTTGAGAGAATAGAGGAGAAGGGATTGCAGTGTCCCCCTCCCCACTGGGAGTGGTTTCTGGCTTTCTGTCTCTGTCTCTCTCTCTCTCTCTCCAGTGAGCACATGTGCCATATGGCAAAAGTTTCTCTTAAAAAAAAAATAAAATAAAAAATAAAGAGTGATAATTGCTACATGGCTGCAGCCAAAAGGAAACCCTCCTGTACTGTTGGTGGGAATGTGAATTGGCACTTCCAGTGTCGTAATAGCTCCGTACTTAGCCCTTTTCTCTTTCTACAACCTCTGTCTTAAATACTCATTATAGTCACACGCCTAATGTTGCAGTGAAAGTGTTCAAAGTGCTTGCCTTTCTCAGATAAGCAGTGGTCCTTCCGTATCCAGGGGTGATAGGTTCCAGGACCCCCAGGGTTCCTTTACATACATACCTGAGATAAAGTTTGGTTTCTGATTCAGGTATTGTAGGAGAGAAAGAATAGTAATTTACAATAACGTATATCAGTTATAACACTGTCCTGTAATAAAAGTTACATGGCTGTGGTGTACCCACTCCCTCACTCCCGCAGCTTCTTCCACCCCCACATCCCATCACAGTACTGGACAGTAGCTGACCACCAGTAAGAAAGTGAGCTCACAGAATATGGTGACTACTATAGTAGAATTACTGTGGTTGGTGTACCTTTTATGGACAATGCCCACTGAGTGGGGAGTGGTATAGATAATCTAAAAAAATCACAGCACTTCTCTACTCAGTATGTTAAAAAAGAAAAACTTCATCCGATTCGGAGGGACAGACTGGCAGATGCAAATCCCTCCTCAGGGCTGTCATTTATGGTCATATAAGTGTACCAAAACATGCCTCATAAAGAGATAGCAGGTGTTAGGTGAGGGATGTGGGAGCCAGCCGATCTTAGCGAGCCCCTTGGGGCAACGCCAGTGCTCTCTCTGTTGGGCTAGGAATGTGAGAGAACGTGCCTGGAGTCGCAGTGCACCCCTCTCTTCAGTGCTGGGGTTCACTGGACAGGATGTGAAGACATAGAAAAGGTGCGAGATGGCTAGAGAAGGTTGAGGCCAGATAGGAGCGGGCTCTGTGGAAATGGTTCCGGGCAGCACAGCTTTGGTCCTGTGCGATGCCTGACCTTCTTCGTGCTTTTTATGCTCTCTCAGCAGCCAAGGAGGTGGCTGTATTTTCAGGTCTCACCTTCAGTAGGAATACGGTTAGCAAGAGAGTGTGTCTTGGATACCAGAGACAATGTGGGAGGAGGGTAGGATTCGGCAGAGGGTGAGGGATAGGGAATCAAGGATGGCAAAAAAAAAAAAAAAGGCAAAATATACAAGACATAAGAAATGGAAAATTATTTGTTGATAACATGTATGTTGATGTGCTTGATCGAGCCAATATACAGTGTATTCTGGATGGAAAATCCATTTTGGATGCTGTAATGATGTATAGTGAATTAATGTAAATAAATAAATTTAAAGGGAAAAAAAAAAGAAGAATAGGCCTGACTTCCCTAGGCTGTGTGAGCTAGAAAGGGAGAAAGGGTAAGAGTAGACACGGAGGTCACAGCAGGTCCACCACAGTCTCACCCTCCTTACCCAGCCCCTGCCACTTCTCCTTTGCCATCTCTGTTCCCCTCCAGTTTTCCCTTCCCCTTTTCATATTTCTTTCTTGCTTTTTCAGCTTCTCAATTTTCCCTTTCTACTTGGATTCTTCTGCCTTTCCCCTTCCTTTTATGTTCATTCTTTTTTCTTTCTATTTCTTGGACTCTTTTTTTTCTTACTCTCCTTCTCCTTCTTTCCTTACCTTCCTTACCTTCCTGACCCATTGTCTCCCTTCTTTTGTGTCCATGTAATTTCTTCTCCTTCATCACCTCTAATTTTGTATTTTCTTTTCTTACTCTTCAACATAATTATTGCAAATACTTTGCTCAAAGACCTGTTGTTACTCTCTCCTTTTCTAATTTTACATTTTAACTTTTTCTAAATTTAACAGGAAGAGTAGTTTCCCTGTTCACTTCTGTCCTCCTACCCTGATCCATTACTTTATTTGAAACTTTAGTACTTGGAAACTGTGTCATATTAAAACACCCAGCTGGCTGGCAATTTAAATTAGATAAAAGATCATTTGCAGGGCCAGCAGGTGGAGTGGTGATTAAGGCACTGGACTCCCACGTGGGCGACCATGGTTTGAATCCCAGACCTAGTGG